AGATTGATGAATTCTTCACAGGAAGCCTTGTATCCCTAGAGTTTTTTTCAGCTAATTGTTTTGCTTTGAATTTTCGGGAAAAAACACGTGAACCAACGTGTGGATACCAGGTTGGCTGAAGAGATGAAAAATCAATAGGATTCATGTCTAGAAAGGCCTGGAAATAGCCAAAACCATTGTAAAATATATTTAAGACTTTACATTTTGTATATATTTGTTCACTTTGCAATACACTTCCTCTTATCCTACCATCTTTTTCCATGTATGGGGAAACTGAGCGACCTTCAGAGGGTGGAGCCTAAAGTTATTATCCAAGTGTACTCATATATAAAAGTCCCCACAAGGTTATAACAAGTGACAACAGAGATATAAAAAAGGTGATGTGGAGCCGAACACAAGAATGAAAGGTCTCGAGGTGAATACGTTAACATCTAGCTACTGTATGGAAGTTCAACATTGCATAAAGTAATCATTAACCCTTGTCATAAGTGCACAATCATCTACGAACCTTACTGGGTAGACTTTCATTGTTTCTTCTGGATGCGTTGACTGAAGGCGGTTCCTTTTCAGAAGGGTTTAATTTTTCTGATAAAGTCCACTACTTGGCATGCGGGGGGGGGGGTTGACTACTCATGCTCCCCAGTAGGGGATTGTTAGATTTATGAATTGTATGTTCTCATTACTGTGAACCATTTGAAAAATGCCTCATAAACAGGTTTTAATATTAACTTCTTAGCGTAGAAATGTTCACCTTCAAATGATTTCCACAACTAGCAGGAGCAGTTCAAACGTTGCAGAACTGATGAATATAACCACATTAAGGTTTATGAGTGAAAACATAACTAAATATAGAGGAAATAGCCTTTGAATATGTCACCTTAAAAGAGATTGTTGGCTGTATTTATTATGACAGACAAAATGGAATGATCACAAATTACTGCTCAGTAGTAAGACCAAAAGAACTTAGCCTAGAAGAAGCAAACAAACCAGAAGCTCAGTAAGTGGATAAACTGGTTGAATAACACAAGCTTGTTTGAACTTGTAAGTCGAACCAAGATGACAGATAATGAATCACAGAAAGCGCTAAATTAGAAACAACTTACAAAATGATTTGACGAATACTAATTGACCTAAAGTGGGTATTCAGGTGAAAGTTCTTCGAAATGTAGGTGGCTTGATAAGGCTTATTATTTGCTATTCAACAAATATCTCCGGTTAGTTTTATATCATGATCACCTTTATCCAAATATACATACTAATTCCTTAGATTAAATCTCGGTATATGTAGAAAACATAAGTTTGACTCAAGAGTATAATCTGTTTACAATTATACGAAACACCCGAACAAAATGGCAGCTTATTGCACTACGATACAGATGAAATAAAATAAAGATTGAAAGCAATGTCTGTTTCATCTTAATATTTTTCTACTATAATATTTTTGTCATATCGGTAACTGGCTTCCTCACTGTGTCAGCTGATTTGACTTGTTCCAAAACGTTTCACATGAAATGAACTTGACGTTTTAATAATATTGTATATTTATGCACAAGGTGTTTTCACAAATATTCTGTCAAATACAGATTCTTTTCTAAACATTCACTAGACATTGAATTTTAAATTAGCTTACTAAAATAAGCAGAATATTTAAAAGTAATTCACTGTAGCTATACTTTCTTACCGTCCTTGAGTTAGCCAATCACAGACAAAAGGATCGTTCGTTGACCTTCACTTTTTTTTATATATACAGATAATGCAGAATTTTGATTAACATTATGTTGCTAAAGCAGGAAATGAAAAGTAGGACTAGGATTCAGAAGTTAGGTTGGATGAAAAAGTTACGATTCGAAAATTATTATTTGAGTGGTAAAATGAGAAGTTAGAATAAAGGAAGTCCAGTGATTTCTTTTTCATCAAAATGTTTTTCTCTAGCGTAATTTTTGTAGAGTTTGAAAACTACTTATCACTAGGAGTCATGTCTGATTGCTTAAGATTACAATTATTATTTTAGTGTACTTTTTAGATATAGATACACTTCACTAATATCAAGAGTCATAATCTTTAAGCAAGATGTACTTTTTGAAATTTTAAGTGATTCGAAACTGTGATATATTCCTTCTGTACTATTTAACATATTTACAAAACCTTTTAGTTGAAAAGTATTGTAACGGTTTCTTAGATACATTCTAAGAGTGATTTTAAGATAGCATAGAATTAATAACTGTACAACAGATCAAAGATGATGTCCACATAAGTATGAGATTGAAGTTTTAAATGGCCTATATCAGTACAACGAAAATCATAGGATACCAGTCCGATGGTCTTGAAGTTGCGTTGTCCTCATTTAATTAAAAGAATTCATTACACTACTGAGTACTTTTCAGTAGTAAACAAATCAACAATAAAAATAGTATGCTCTGGTCGACGATTAACTACTTCCATTTGAGTCTACCGGTAGCACACCTATTGGTAGGCAAATATTACTTTCATATTACCATCATTGAGAAGGATACTAGAAATTGAGAGCAATACCCCCTCACGTGGTCATGAACAGACTGGTGTACATGGTAGTGTTTCAAAGATTAATAATGCATCTAGTATGAAATATTTATGTAGAAGAATTGAAACTTGTGACTTAAAAGGTTAGAGGGGTTTGGGTAGAGAACAAAGTCAAGTTGTCATCTGGTAACTGTGACAAACATTGTTTCATTCACCTAATAATCAACATGTACGATATTATCAGCTCACTGTATCATTGGTATCACTGTGGGCGAACGGAATGGCTAATAAGTAATGGTCACTTATTACAATAGAAAAAAATCATAAATCTTTGACTGTTACAAGTTTGCAAAGGAGTTATTAAATACTACGCTTAGTCAGAAGAATTATTATCGACTTTTAAAGTCTTTCTCTGGTGACCAAGAGCACATGGAAACCACAATCCTATTGTCTAAGTTCATAAAATATCCATATCTGAAGTTTATGGTGTGAAAATGAAGAGAAACGTTCTTACTTTTGAAAGCTTAGAGGAGGTTAAACAGGTTAGTGGCTAAGACTTCGACAAATTTTAAAATAAGGCCCTAATAGGTTCTGGAGATAGGTTTAAATAACGTTCCTACATGCGATTTATGCTCCTTTTCAGTAATATGTTTAGTTGTTAAACAGCTAGGACGTTTGATTCCAGGGTCGTAGAGTGAATAAAGATGAAGCTATATTCCACTGCATTTACTCTTTTAAATGTGTGTGCATCCATACACACAAAGGGAGGAGTCATTAGTCATTGAAAACAAGGGCTACAGAACATATTGTAAAGTGCCTTCGGAAATGAATATACGAACTCCTCTGTGGCTAAACATTTATCTGAAACAGAGAATAAATATATGTACAAGTGTAACATACGCCCATCTAAAAACGCGTTTTGGGAAGTATTTTAAAGTATGACCAAGGGAATATCCTTCTACTCCTATAAAACCATGTTTATGGTCGAATGACATTGATTGTTAGTGTGCATAAATTAACAACAAAGTAAAACTTCTAGGAAGATTTTCGTTCCGTAACTATACTCAACTTCACTGAAGTATTACTGGGAATGAATCAAGCTTTCTTAGAAAAGTACATTTTTATTGAGGGAAAATTTTTACATATACCAAAGTTGTGGTTATTTTCGTGAAAATATTTTACTACTGATTTGTAAATAAGTAGGGTTGTTCTGACCAGTTACTTGAAACGACAAACTTCCTCAAACTGATTTCTTATCATGTTAAAAAATAACTTTACATTCAAATAAAACACAGTGGATGATTCTACAGAGAAGCAGATAGACAAGATCAATATAGGATCAGGCATGCGTTCACCACACTTCACATCAGCACTTGAAGCGAGAAGGCATTAAGATGAAAGACAAAAAATGAGAAATAAGTCAATGTAGCAGAATGTAGTGATAGGATAACAATGAAGAACAAGGAAATTCCAAGTTTATAATAACGACTAAGGTGAGGATAATGTATGAACCATGCCACTTACTATCCGCAACCATAAGTTTGTTTTGTCACTTGAAGGTCAACCGGATAGTCGATATTTTCCTACACGAATCAGACCAGGACAGATATTTCATGCACGGATGCCATTTTTAATCTGACCACCCTGACGTTTTCGAGCCTAAATCTACCTCAGTAAACACGCCTTCTGTAACATCAAACCTTCAGAAATAACTTTTCATTACCCTTTATCAGAAAAAAATAGTGAGAAGCGTTAAAAACGTTTTAAATCAAGCTTTCATGAATGAAAGCATATTGTTATGATAGATATTGTGTATCTATACAGCAAAGAAAAAAAAGTATATACTTTATCAAAATTTCACTAATATTTTAAGCGCATTTAACTTCAAAATGAAGACCAGCAATTCAGACATCATTGAGTTTAATCGTCTTGAAATCTACATTCTTGGTAAACTCAAATCAGTTAAAACTAAAAAGGGAAATCGCAAATACTAACAACTGGCAACCGATACCCATTCCTCAAGAGGTTTCCTTTTTGAATTAGTAACCTGATAAATATCGTTGTAGTGTGTGAAACGATAAGTGCTTAGTTCAAATATCAGTAGTGACACTAACACTTTCTGGGATGCAAGTACATCCGGTTGACTATTATCAAGTAAGACAAAAAGTACTTCTCGATTCCACTGCCAACCACCTATTAGCTAGCTAATTACATCACAATAAGAAAATTCTTCAGTGAAAATGATTGTTTTACGAATCAAAATAGTTCACCTACTACTCCTTATGATTTAATTATGTATTTTGAAGGGAAAATTGTACGTTTATAATCATCATTGACTATTGAACCTAAGGAAGCGGTAAATTAAGTTAGTATAAATTAGTGATAAATTAATTTTTATGTACAATCTATGTAGAAAATAAATTTAACAGAATTATTTGATTTTTAACACAGATTTATTATAACTGTGAACAAATTTTCTGTTTATTTATTTCTGCACTCAGCTGTTGGTGTTCTTATCATACTAACTGGTATACCATTCTATATATTTGGATGTGTATGGAAAAATAAACCTTATCGATTTGAAAAGATACTATGTGAGTGAAACACTTTGCTTATTAAATTATATTATACTATTTACTTCTACCAGGATCAGAAAAGCAGGAAAGGCTTTCACCAATCTGAAATCACTGTGGAGATCTACTACACTCAGCACAAAGCGTGAACAAGTTCCGGATTTTCAACCCCAATGTCAAGTCAGTGCTTCTGTATGGTTTAGTGACTTGATGTGCCACGAAAAGCACTTCCAACAAACTACACACATTCATTACCAACTGCCACCTACGCTGGCTCGATAATGAAGATCAAATGGCTAGAAAGAACAATCAGCTAGGAACTCTGGGAACGAACCAACAAAGCAATAGCCCAACAAATATGCAGACGAAAGTGGAGATGGATTGAGCATACACTGAGAAGGCCGACTGCAGACATCACGCGCCATTCCAGGCCAGGCTGTTGAGTGTAATCCAAACGGGAAACGACTAGTTGGGCGTCCGAGGTGAGGGCGACATGGAGATCATTTGAGGAAGTTTGTGGGTAGGCAGTGATGGAGCCAGGTTGAAAAGACTGCAGAGAACAGAGTGCACTGGGGGCGTGCTCCTGAAGCCCTATGTTCCACTAGAAACCCAAGAGAAAAATAATAATGACAATAATTTACTTCTCCCTGATAGACAACATAAACTGATTCATGAGGTTTAAAGAACTACAAAGAAGATTTGACCAAAGTATAGTTAATTGAATAATAACGCCTATATCTGCAAAATATCCCAGTATGCAGCTTGATTAAAGATTGCATCATATTTCAACTAATACGATGCTAAATAGGCAATGATTGGTTTTTTTTCTAACACTTAAAATTGAGTTCCTGAAATATGCAGCTGATGTCAAACTACAAGACATTACTTCGAAAGTGAACCAATAAATCTGTCAGTTTGACTCCCATCAATTTATAGTGAACCACAAAACTCGCTAGGTGAGTAAATGATGGAAAACAAATAGTTTTACGCCAGTCATTGATATGATCACTGACTAAAACGCTTAGTGACTCTAGTGACATTGAGACATGGTTAGAAGTTGGGTCCTTGAGCTCAGACGATTAGCTGTCAACAAAGTTAGCAATACGGAGGAAATATCACTCCATAGAACACAAATCACTTAGGAGATAAGTGAGAGGAGAGCACCTTTTATCAATACATCTGCTGAGAAATTCAAAGGTAATAATAACAATGAATATTCCTGCTAAACACGACAGACTACAGTTATTTCTGATGAATACTCTCCAAACTACGCATACGACTATACAAGTCTCCGTAAACTACGGTTCCTCCAACTGATGTCAGACCATGAAGAATACCAGCTTGATATCAATAAGTCCCAACACACCTCCTAACTGAATTAATCTAGTATTCATTGGTCAATAGCTTCGAGAGATGATTTTCGAAGTTCCAGTGAGAAGTCGTGACCGGTGGAGTTCACCAAGTCAAACAGGAGAAAAGTTACTCAATGACGGCTTCTGTTGGAGGTCGTGTTATATCATGAACTGACAGGATTGAAAAATATGAACCACTGGATTCCGATCCAGTGGCTCAATGATGACTGGCTGACTGCGGAACCTGTAGTTCCTGAGTTGGATCCGTAGCAGGGTCATGAGCACGCACTTCTGAGGTTTCCTATAGTAGTACGAAGCAGCTCTCCAGTGTTTTCATGTTTCCAATTTTTTTTCTAACTGATGTCAGTCCATGACGAATACCAACCTGACAAATAGAAAACTTTACAATGCATTACAGTAATCTAATTACTGTAAATATGTAAGAATTATTATCAGATATACTTTCAATATAATACTGCAAGTTTTTTCAACCCACTTACTGCTCGTTTTATGTATCGGCGTGAGAAAAACGCTTTAATAATGCCAGTTATGCTAGAAAACGTATAAATCTACAAAACCTTGAAAACAACCTTTTATATGACTAACCGTTTTAACTACACATATTGCAGAGAAACAGAGTGGAAAGCTTTCTGATAAAATCCACCTAGTGAGTAACTTTCCTGTGATGTTAACCAGTGAGATCACTCAACAAATGCTAAAATATCACAACAGACAGGTTATTCATTTAAATATTGAAGTACTCAACTACTTACAACTATGTAAGTAATATAAGAAGCTGAAATAGAACTTACGTCTAGGCAGGATAAAACTATCAATGCAAGTCTAAATAGGAGTAGTTTTAAAGAAGGCTAAGGAAAGTCAAACCAAGACTTAGCATCCGTCTATCAAGTGTTTCACTGTTAGTATGAACCACGTAGAGGTATTCAGACTGTCCGGCAGAGGTGGTGGGTGTGATAAGAATCAATAGCTGGCGAATTCTGGTTACACGGCTCAAAATCACTCAATGTAACGCTGATACATACATTCATCTTAATGATGGAGGTGGCGAGCATTTTCACTAATCTTCATCCACCTATTCTCTTAAATCGGCAACTGAAGGTTCCAGGTGTTTGATGATCTTTGCCATCGTAGTGTACGCCGTATTCCGTCGTGTCACCACTTGAGTAACGCAGAAGTAAGGTGTGGAGTTTTAGGGAGTTGAGGTAAATCAGTTGACACGGTTGTCAGCCTTCATCGACTGAGATGGTTGGGACACGTGCTACTTATGCCCAGTCGTCGTCTGCCTCGTTACACAGTGTTGGCTGAAGTAGGTCCAGGCTGGAAAAGGGCTCAAGGTGGCCACACTAAAACATGGCACCAATGTATGAAGTCTCTGACTGTTGGTTTGAGCCATGTGGAGCGATACAGACTAGCCGGTTGGGGTCCACGAGACAAGAGGAACCGGTGGTTGGAGACTCTAGGTGATATGCCTCAGAACCGAAGTCAGTGGCACAGATATGTACATACATTATCCTCATCTAAACGACGCTATATCGAATCTCACCATTTTCTCATTCTTCCTTCCTCTCTTTTCGTACTTTATATTTCTTCTGACTGAATTTTCTTACCTTCATCTTGTACCTCACTGCCTTTTTACTTGATGTACTGACACGACCTGTGCCAACTCGGACGGTTACGCAGCGATACCTGGTCCTATGTTAATATGGATGGATGAATTCTCTTAAATTTCATGCACATTTACCAAACTTAATATCGATGTTTCTTTCCAGTTCTGCTTAGCACACCGCTGAAAAGCTCGGTAACTTGAACCAAAGAACAGGTGCACCAGGTTCTACACTGATTTGTCTATTCGCCTACAGAATAGTCTCACCAACATCATTCATAAGTTCCTAGCTGTGCATTTCCGAAATACACTCTGAAGTGGTTTTCACAGCATGAACAATGAGAATTTTCTTTATCGAACACAGTTGCACACAGCTAAAGAAGAGAAGTTAAACGAAAGACAAACAAACGAAATCAAAAAAATAAGTGAATCAGTTTATCGATTCGCCTCAATTCACAGCAGTACCTCAAGAACAAAAGGAGAGAAAAGAAGCCATATCACAGCAGAAAAAATGTGAAGGGGAAAATTAATTTGAAGATTAGGGTTAATACGAATATTCAAGATTTAGATGTCATGTAGTGGATTCTTCCAACCTATAGTCACCGATTTTCAGGCATCTCAAAAACAGTCCTCAAACACTGATTCCTATCGTCTCCAGACCGAAACTCGGCAGTATACATTCCCCCCCCCCCCAACCCCACCCCAACATGACTCAGGCCACCAGACAGGAAGTTCGTCGACTAGTACACCTCTCGGTCTGGCCACCCTGAACGCTCTTCTAGCCTAGTCCAACATTCCCTAACATGACATCGAGGTAGGAGATGGCTCACCATGCGCAGTAAGTGTCCAAGCCATCTCGGTTGACTGGGATTCACAACCTCATCAATCCACCTCTCTTTCTTATCCAGTACGCTTTGTCTGAACTCCACATCGTTCACACAGTGACTCCACCAAACATGAACAAGCCTACGAAGACGGTGGTGATTAGAACGTGTAACCACTTCATGTCTTCTACTTTCAGCGGCCATATCTCACAGGTCTACAACAAGACAGAAGACACTGGAATTCTGTATACTTATTCCCTGATAGATAGTTGGATATCTCTCCAGTTGACTGAAGTTGTCAAATTCAGAACGGCCCTTCTGTATCCGAGGTAAGATTTCATCAACAGTTAACCCGTTCAAGCTGACGTAACTTTCCAGTTAACTGAAGAGGTCAACACATTCCACCAATTCACTTCCGATCATCAAACTGCGATTACTTGCAGAAGACCAGTCGTGGAGTATCATCTTACGTTTGAGAGGTGTGAAACGCATGCTAGGCATTCAAATTTCTGCTCAGTGCACTCACAAAACCCTACAATTTTTTTGCATGTTCATCTGACAGAACAATATCATCTGCACACTTCAAGTGAACTAGATGACACACAGGGGGTAGACCAACCTCTGTAATGTCACACATGCCTAAGGTTGGACTCATTAAGACGAAGTTGAACAAGAACATACACAGTTGACGTCCCTGGAGGACACCACTAGTTGTCGTTAATTCAGACAATTATTCATCATAAGCCAATACACGGTTCCATGAGTTCCAGTATAGAGCTTCGATTAGCATTATATACTTGCAAAATGCTCCTGTAACAGTTAGACAATACCAAAAAATCTCATGCTTGACGGAGTCAAATGCCGTCTTCAGGCTACATATAGAGTAACTGAAGAGTTGTTGAGGGACAGTTCAACTGAATTCCACTGTTCTGCTCAACATTCTACCCACCTGTTCTGGAAGGTCATCAGCATCCAGTTCCTTCCCATGATGGTTTCACTTACCATCGTCTTCTTCTTCCTGCTATCCTTAATAACAGTAAATAGTTGCAGAGTGTCACCCAATCCTAATGTATTCTCCATATCTCTCTCACTGTCACCACCCACAACTGCTCCCCACCGATCAGAAACTCATGGTCAAAAAGTTAATCGAAAAAGCTGTGTTACCCATGGTTAGTCACTATCTGCATTGTTGCAAAATTTTGGTTGAAGTAGGTGTACGAATGAAAAAGGTTAGAGATGATCATATTGAAACATAGTAAAAGTTCACTAAGTCTCTGACTGTTAATCTGATCCAAGTGGGGGAATTGTAGAGCTCTAGGTTGGAGTCTACGTAACTACAGAAACTTGGGGTTGGAGAAACTGTGATATGTCGCAGAATAGATCTCGAGGGAGCAGATGCACGCATACACCATCTTAATCGTCATATCGTGTTTCGTTATCGTCTCTCTCTCTCTTCTCACGATCTTCTACTACTTTTTACTTTTTTCATTATTTCTCTGTCTTTCAATTTGGTGCACTCTCGTTTGATGTATTGATATGAAGTGTGGCAAGTTGGGCGGGTACGCAATAATGCGGGGTCCCATGTAAATTTTAACTAACTTACTTAGGAAATCGTCTAGTAAATAAGACTGTGACAGATCTAGCAAGATAACTAAAATGTTGTTATAATTTAATACAGTGCCCGAATACCACTCGTATAGAGACGATGAACGTAATATTCCTCGTACTTTTAGTATTCAAGTAAACAACAACAGAATAAAGACAGTAGTGCAAAAAGGATTGTAAAAACAAATTCGGATTATATCGATGAGAATTTAGATGAACTTAGCATATACTATGGTATAAACTGATTTCAATATTCAAAACGTTTTCATTCTCTCCTTTTTCGATTTCCGTTCACTACAACGCATGACATCATCGTCATACTCTAAATTACTTCAACAAGCTGATTATCAGAAATTCGTCCTGTAGCGTTATCCAACATACTGTTTCCATGTAACTCAGAGACCCCATGCAGTAATACAGTAAACATTCAGCTAAAACTACTGTGTAAGGGTTAACGACACTGCTTGGCTACCCAAATCATGATAGGCGGGACAAGGGTTGAAAATTGGTGTCTGTACCAATGAGCCAAAGCTCTCCCATTAGACTAAGATAGTATAATAACAATTAACATAACAGACAAACCGATAATCCAAAACTCATCAGCTCGAATTCCGCCGCAACTAAAACCTGCGCTTAACTTTAACCATCATTCCTTTACATTAGGATCTTTCTGCGAAATTCAAGTTGCCTGAATCCAACTGGCATTCCATCACCCTCTTTTGTTAAATTTAGCCCGAATTGGATTGGTACAGAAATAGTGGACTCGGTAGGTAGCATGCTGATAATGATAAGTGGAAATTTAAGTATCACCTTATCACATAACATAGCAAAACTTTCGGTGATTAAACTGATGTTGTGGTTTGGTTACCAGTTAGACCTTATGGCTCAATGGGTAGAGATCAATAACCAAAAGGCAAGTGGTTTTAATCCTGCTACGATTTAGACTTGCTTTTCACTCCATCCATCACCCCTTTACATTAAAACCATACTGTTAAGAAACAGTTACTTACAGTAGTAAATGAGAAAACGGAACCAACTAATCAAAGGCTAAGATATGTAATAATCGTAGTAATAATGTTGATATCAGTGACAAACTTACGATTATCCCAGTTATATCTGAACTGTGAAAACGTGAAATAGCAACTTCAATTGATTTGTATATCGCCGTGTTCATTCGCTGACATATCAACCGATTAAGATCTATAGAACGACCAAGTAATTGAATATTTTTCTGTCGTAGTAGAGCTGCAGTATAACGATTCGGCGGTGGGTACGGTTCACGCCATGAAGCCGTACGTTGAGCCTCAGCTCTAAAACGTTTATCTAGTAGAATTGATGCGGCATAACGCTTATAATGTCTGAATACTTTATCACCCAGTTTATAGACTAACTGATCAAAGACTAAATTTGCTTCAGCTTCTATTTCTTCATAGAGGAATCTTCGACGAAATCGATTTAATGCACACTCAGCAGCATCGTTGTAAAGATCAAGCATATACAGAAGATATTCCATGTACCCAGGATGTTCTGTCTCTAATATATGATCTGTGAATATCCATGGCAGACTCATTTCAATGGGAAATTGTATACAAGCACCATTGGTCATTTCTAAGAAGAATTCACGATACCATAACTGAGATAGGTCACAGCATTTGATCAGAGTTTCTAGAGAACAATTTACAAAAACAAACGAGAACAGATTTGATAAAATAAGGTAGACAATTTGATAGACTTCACATAAAAACACTATGGAGCAGGAGGGAGGGAGAAGAATGCTTAACGACCTCAGTCGGAAAACCGACCTCATACACATGCAATTCAATATTTTCTGGTACCTGAGCCAAGATATTTAACTGGAAACCAAATCTTAACTTTTTCTTCATGACAGCTAGGTTGAACATATCACGAAAGCATCACATAATATACACAACTCATGACCAAGTAATAGAACGAAAATGAAGCACATCTTTGGCTGTATCCATGGAAATCTAGTGCATTGTGAATTAGAAAAATGTATCACAAGTATATTTGCAACGAATATTTATGCATAATGATCAGTTTTTGACTTATGTGATATTTCAAGCAAAACTCCTGCTCGTGACCTCGGGAATCATTGGAACTACTTAGATAACCAGATCTGAAAACTTATGATTTGGTCTAAATATTTATGACAATATATTTTATAACAAAATGATATTTTTATTGAAATGGTAAGATCATACCCATACCCAGATAAACACAGAAATCAACGCAGAACCTGGCACAGGAGTGTATCAATTCAATTTGTTACACTTCACAAAAGCATGCAACGAACAAGTAGATGGGAACGATATTGAGGCAAACAAAAGTATGTGCGAGGAGAAACAATTTGAAAAAATGTTAGTGAAAATGATTAAAATTTAGATGTCAAAGAGTGGATAAATCTACACCATCGTGATCGATTTCAGTAGTATCACCGAGATTCTCCAACCATTGATTCCTACTATCTCAATGACCCCAGTCATAAAAAAACTACATCTCCATACCTAACTCAAACCGACAGTCGCACACTTTATAGAGTGGCAATATATCTTCGTCTGACCACCAACCTTTTGCCAACCCAATCCATTCTTGAAAACTTCAGGTGGTAAACTGTCACGTCCTACTACTTTACATCCTTTCAGGTTTAGTAAAGCTTCTCAACTTTAAAGAGTTCCAGGACCGATATCGATGAACCATTCAGATTCGGGCTAGATGTTGAGTAACTGAAGAGTTGCTGAGGGACAGTTCAACTGAATTCCACTGTTCTGCTCAACATTCTACCCACCTGTTCTGGAAATTCATCAGCATCCAGTTCCTTCCCATGATGGTTTCACTTACCATCGTCTTCTTCTTCCTGCTATCCTTAATAACAGTAAATAGTTGCAGAGTGTCACCCAATCCTAATGTCTTCTCCATATCTCTCACTCTCATCACCCACAACTGCTCCCCACCGATCAGAAACTCATGGTCAACTTACGTCCAACTTGCTTTCACTCTTCACAATGCTCACAATCCGGTTCAAAACAGTCTTCTATCATCAATCAGTTCGAATGACCTTGCAGAAATACAATGACGTTTGGCAACCTTCAGCTGTCGGTTACCAACTGTCTTCAATGCTGTTTCTACAGTGGACTTCATATCACCCTACACCAGCTTTCCACAGGATCAACATTGCTGTCATGTTCACATGAATGCCTAGCTATCTCTTTCCTAAGTACGCACTTCACGTCCTCCACTTCCAGTCAACCATAGATAGGCTTCACTGTCCCACGTTTCCTCTGACCAGTAAGGCACAGACATACACGACCCTGTATTAGCGTGTGATCCGAGTCCAAACAAGTACTCTAGAAGGAGTGGCAGTCCTCCACTAATCCTCTCTAACGATGGCTTATATCAATGTCATCTATGTGTCCATCATTGGTTTGATGTCAGCGGATGCCATGTGAGGCAGTGCCTCTCCGTATGCTTAAAGTTAGTGCTGGCTACAAACAAGTGATTATCACATCGAAATTGCAGCAGGCGACCACCATTATGGTTTCGTTTGCATGGGATTCTGTATATACCTGCAAAACGCCTTTACAATTGGCGCATTATTCCCACTCAAGTGTAGAAGTCACTTGATATTATGACTACATCTAAATGTTTTGCCTTTTGTGGCAAAGTTGACAGCTTCTATAGAATTCATCCTTTGCATCATTCAAACTAAAGCCATTGGGTGCACAGGCGGAGATTATGAATAGGCGTCGGTTGGCTTTACCATCCTTTCTAGATCTTACAGATCCATTCAGTTGAACAGCCTGCAGATGGCTGTTGACTGATATCCAGTCGAGAAGCGCACTTCCTGCCTTACGACTCAACGCTATGCCTACACCAGCGAGTCCTCGAGAGCTAGCCTCTGGGTCTCTGGTGAATCTTCAAAACTCGCTACTATCACCAGATGGGGTCAATTTAATAAACACGCCCAGATCCTCTATACGTGTTTCACAGACAGTATACAAACATGGCTAGAGATTGCAGAGTTCTGGTGAACTATGCTTACTGTCCCATTTACTGAGTTCGGACGTTCAAAACTCCTACATGAAATCGATGGTGGGGTCTTAGAAGATTGTGAATGAGGTTTCAATGGCTTTGATCATTCGTTATGGTCGCAAAATCAGAGCGTGGGTAAGGTGTAAGAGGCCTAATATTAGTATCAAGAAGTGAAGGCAAAGGAGACAGTTGAGCAGGATAGGTTATGTTTGACTGCATCTTGTATGCTGCTGGAAGCGTGAGGGTAGTTGATAAGTCCCGGCTGCCCATCCTGTGGAAGGCTAGTTCTTCTTAAGTTAATTGGACGAGAAAAGATTTATGTGACTACAGAGCTTCAACAAAAGCTATTTTGTACTGAAGAAAATAATGTTTGGCAATTCTTCACTCGGCATTCAGTATTTGTGATACTAGTAAAGTTTTAATCATACCTAATAAAAAATTGCTCTACAAAACGGTAATTAGTACACATTTAAAGTAAAGAAATAAAATCTAGAAATATTATTGATAATAATATCATAGAATCAAACTAATCACCGGCTCATATAATCGTTTTAATATACCGTGAACTCTCAGTGCTTATGTCGTCAAATAACCGATCACTTGGGATTTGATGGGTACCAGTGATACAGACTAGTCAATAAGGGATTGTGGGGTAACTGTGTGAACGATGTGGAGTTCAGACAAAGCGTACTGGATAAGAAAGAGAGGTGGGTTGATGAGGTTGTGAATCCCAGTCAACCGAGATGGCTTGGACACTTACTGCGCATGGTGAGCCATCTCCTACCTCGATGTCATGTTAGGGAATGTTGGACTAGGCTGGAAGAGCGTTCAGGGTGGCCAGACCGAGAAGTGTACTAGTCGACGAACTTCCTGTCTGGTGGCCTGAGTCATGTTGGGGTGGGGTTGGGGGGGGGGGGGAATGTATACTGCCGAGTTTCGGTCTGGAGACGATAGGAATCAGTGTTTGAGGACTGTTTAAGAGATGCCTGAAAATCGGTGACTATAGGTTGGAAGTATCCACTGAATGACATCTAAATCTTGAATATTCGTACTATCCTTAATCTTTAAATTGTTTATTTTCACATACACGTTTATCTACTTTGATAACACTTTTTCTATCCATATGTTCATTGTGTACTACTTTAAAGTGAGGTAACTTGAGCCTATGCACGATTTTGGGAGGTTCTACGCTGGTTTCGTCAATTAACCTCATAAAAGGCATTTGTTAACTTCAGATAATTAACAATCATCATTTAATCTTTTGAACATTTGAAACTTAGTGTTTACATTTATTTATTTATTTATGATAGATATTTTCACGAAATATAGTCAAAAATTAATGAATATTTTACCCGAGACAGTATCCTCATAAACAAAAAGAAACAGGAGGCAGGAAGACGAAAAAAATGAAGGGAACAGATATTCAGTAAATGATAATCGATCGGTTCCTCATTCAACATACTATATGATAATATTTATTACTGAAATAACAAGAAATTTTTCAAAAAAGATAAGCAAAGTAGTTCACCTGTTATCTCTTTTGCTACTATGATTATGTTTATCAGAAATCAAGAGGAATTCGGATCCTTTTCTAAAACGTTATTAACACATAAATCTACATATTTAATCATTAGTCATAACGAATTCTCACTTTTAAACAAAAGATACTGTATTCATTCATAATTCGCTTCTTAGTATTTTATTAATTAAACTTTAAAATGTTTTACACATGACTTTTTTCCCCTACCTTATTCGTTGTTTATAAGGTTCAATACTTCGAAGTTAAGATCAAGTCAAGACGATTCAAAGTAAAAGTTTAACTTTTAACACTTTCAGAATGTGTACAGAATGAATTTTGCATATCGTATATAGACAATCTACACAAGCAAAAATGGCAGCGATCCATACTGAAATGACTTCCGCCTGAAAGGTTGTAACAGCGATAGCGAGTGAAGCGGTGGAAAGTGTTGACCACTTCACTTACTTGGAAAGTTGCATCAGCTTGAACGGGTTAACTGTTGATGAAATCTTACCTCGGATACAGAAGGGCCGTTCTGAATTTGACAACTTCAGTCAACTGACGAGATATCCAACTATCTATCAGGGAATAAGTATACAGAATCCCAGTGTCTTCTGTCTTGTTGTAGGCCTGTGAGATATGGCCGTTGAAAGTAGAAGACATGAAGTGGTTACACGTTCTAATCACCACCGTCTTCGTAGGCTTGTTCATGTTTGGTGGGGTCACTGTGTGAACGATGTGGAGTTCAGACAAAGCGTACTGGATAAGAAAGAGAGATGGATTGATGACGTTGTGAATCCCAGTCAACTGAGATGGCTTGGACACTTACTGCGCATGGTGAGCCATCTCCTACCTCGATGTGTCATGTTAGGGAATGTTGGACTAGGCTGGAAGAGCGTTCAGGGTAGCCAGACCGAGAGGTGTACTAGTCGACGAACTTCCTGTCTGGTGGCCTGAGTCATGTTGGGGTGGGGCAGTATACATTGTATACTGCCGAGTTACGGTCCGGAGGATAGGAATTAGTCGTTCAGACCTCTATTTGACATGTCTGGAAACCAGTCACAATGGCGCAGATGCATTCACTCTTTGACGTCTTCTAAAGCTTGAATATTCATACTATACGTTATCTTCAGATTGTTTATTCTCCCACTTAACTTTGTCGACTTTGATATGTCTTTTTCTACCCACGTGTTCATTCTACACTGCTGTGAAGTGTGGCAAATTGAAGAATTGATTCACTTGTGTACGATGTTCCACGATGATTTTGACCGTCCATAAACGGTATGATTCAACTGTTTAAACACTGAGCAGATACTTAAACTTAATGTGTTGTAAAGTTTGGAAATTCTTCTTTAAGACGGTATAACATCTGAGGACATAGTATGCATCTGAGTTACCTCTAGATACCTTCGGAATGAATCATGCAACAGAGTGTGAACTTAAAATGAGATGGAAAACTGCAGCCAAATGCGTATAGCTAATATGAAAACCACAAAAAGTTGGAATAATAACAACCTTCCGAAAATTTCATTTGCTTTGACATGGATGCATTCAGATCACTTTCTTAGCCCTAAGAAATCGACCTACGAATAATCCTATTCGGATTAGTCAGAAATTGATAAGCTACTGGAACTTAAGTGTTCAAATTAATTATCCACTTTATTTTCTGCATAAGTGAGAATTCGACTAGCTACCATTTTATGCAGTATTCGGAAACATATATGTTGAGAAATGCGTCGGTAATTTCCGACTATTTCTGCAATATAGCAACTACATAATACACTACAATACAAGTGACTATTTCGATTGTAAAGCCGAAATTTAGTGAACAAACTAATCAGTATTAGAATACTGTCAGTTACGAGTGCAAAAATGGAAAATTAATTTGATAAAGACCCAAACGAAAAGTGAGCTCAAGTATTTATGTTAAAGGTAAAGTTGGTTGGGGTAGCTGATTTCAAAAAATCTCTAGGAAGGAAACAATATTTATCATTACTTTTTTATACAACCCTAACTATTTTACATATTTTTTAACTACCTGAATGCTTCTTTCTTGATAAGATAGATAATCTGTAACTGCGATATAACACTTGGGTTTCAAAAGAGAACTTGCCTATCCGCAGCGCAAAAGACTAGAGATCGCAGATATACGATTGTTAAGGACGGTTATAAATTATATAGCTAGATACTGTACTGGGGAATATCTCCGCAATCTTCAATCTATAAGTGGGATTAAACTAAGACTTACAACCAAGATATAAATGATAACAAGGTAACTCAAACCGATACATGTTTATGCACTAGACAATGAGTCACACTTATTGTAAGTGCTTTTAATAACACCCGGTCGTCAAGGGGGAAGAGGGTTGAGCGGGATCTACAGTAAGTACGAAGACCTGACGGTATTTCGCATTAAAAAAACGTACGATTACCCTGCATAGACTACGCGGAGTAAGAATTGCTTTCAAGCTTTATAGAAGAAAATTAGTCATGGCAACTTGTTACACTTCTGTAGATCGTCAACAACACATACTACTCCAATAGAATTAAAAGTAAGCAACAAGTACTGCTTTGAGAAAATTTACTCGCCTAAACGGAACCTTAATAAAGTAACCAGCTATCATCTTTAGTCTTAATAGGTACTCGTTTCTGGCTCATAAAGCAGTTATGTCATCGCCTTTCAAGCGAACTGAATGTCACTTAGACTAGTGGAATTGTTCTGATAAGACATTTGGCTTATTATTTGAGGGAGCTAACCGAATAGGGCATTCATTACATTTTAGTAACATATTGACTAGTTATCGGTTTCACTGATCGACTATTCCCAATGGTTAGCGATACAGTCATGTTTTAGTTTGCATAAATATACAAAAGCTGAACCGAATACCGTATGCGTCATAATGCACAAATATACCGGTGAAATAACTTCCTTTGAAGGATAATAATTGGAAGTATTCTTATCTAACCAAAGATGTGAGTTTCTTAGTTATTTCCAACTGTAGAGTAGTACATATACTTTAACTACTTTCATTCTCGATCTCATAGCGCTTATAGGAGCTGACACTACTTGGGGATTTAGCCGAATGTAAGTAAAGTATGATTTCATTCCAAGAGTGAATATCTACACCAATGAACTATAATTTTGACATAAGAATCCCAACTGGGTCGTATTGATTGCATTAGGAATTTATCTATGATATTGTAGGTAACCCACTTATATTTACACAAACAGCTATCAATACTCTGAGATTAGTTTGCAACAAAGTTTAGTGTTCATAGCTCATTCACTTAGAAAACAACACTAACCATCATAATTATCATTAGGAAAATGTGATAAAAACTTGTAGATAATAACTTTGGTAAGTAACAATTCACTCACACGAAGCAAAAAAAATCGAGAAAATGGAGAGGGGGGGAGAGTGAAAATATCAATACAAAGAGAAAAAATAAAGCAACTCTCTCCCTACCCAAAAAGCAACAAATTACCGGTAACAATTAAAATCACATGATTATGAAAAGCAAAGACTGTGTAAAATGCTATAAAGTTAAATTACTATGATACATAAGCGTTATAATGTTTTTATATGAAGGAGATAGGGTAGAAATAAATTACATAGCTTCACAAAAACATGATGAATTAAGATTTCGACCATGTAGGTATGGGGAATTGTCGAACACGAACACTTGTTTCATCCACTCGGTCAACAGGATGAAGATAGATACTTAGTGTAGAGAATATTTGGCGATTGAGGACTGAAAAACGACTTAGACGAGCAGCCATTCGTTCCAAAGACTAGATAAAAAGATATTGAAAATACTACAATTGAAGACAAACAACTGATAATGAAAGACAATAAAAATGCCTATAGGACAGTGTCTACTGATTAACTTTATTCAAACTGCAGTAAGTCAGAAGATGTAGAAGAATGCAACAGTAAACAATCTTTTTAAATAAGTGGTGACCGTATATATTCCCATAATCTAAGCGTACAATGAGACAAAGACTGCTCAAGGAAGTCACTAGTACTTTTGGAGAGAATATGTTTGAATCTTGAGTCATGAATGTATTAGATGTTGAAGTTAGTAAGAAAAAAAACTTCGCGGTTGTTGGGGCTCATAGATGAGGCATATCTGAAGACTTAAGGGCACCAGTATTTTCTCGAAGTTTCAAACCTGTCTTACTAAGTTAGAGGTGTTTTCTCTAAGCTATTGAGATGACAACACCTTTCAACTAGGACCTGACAATATGAAAAGAAATTGTGGACTGAATAGCAACCAATTTCATCATCCACTACCAAAGTCCTGATCGATGTCTATTACTTGAGAAGCACAAATATCTTTGAGTTTACAGATATCCAACGCTGACGATTACCAAAAGGTATGAGAAACAACTCTGTTGAATGACGGACATCTCATTTTAGAAGCAGATCTACTCTGCAGCGTTATTGGTAAATGTGTTTTATTACAGGCTATTGTACAGAAAAAACACTGAATCAACTTGAGATGACACGAATAAATCACGTGGTCACTCAATTGAGGGATTGTAGGGATTGAATGATTTTACAGTAGCCTTCAGCTGAGGAACCATTGAAGAATTGGTACATTATGAATTGAAATAGGTAAGAAACTGTGAAACACTAACTTTCCAGACGGTGACAATGTTATGTCACTCTTAACTTACAAATTTTTCAAGTATGGTATTTGGGTGAACAAATTTAGCGCGTCATATGTTCTTTTAACCCTGATAAACAAACCTGTTCAATGAAGAAGCGACCTACTAAGTAAGACTACACAAAACGAAATCAGTAAAACGCTTAGGAGAATTTGCCCACCTACAATTTGTACTGATGGAATCGAATAAAGCAACGAAGACTGCCTTGAACAATCCAAATTCAGACATTGTTTCTATCAGAACATCTGTTCAATGACGAATAATAACCGGTAGGTTAATCTTCTGGGTGTCAAACCGATAGTTTTTGGCTTACAATATCAGTGGCAAAACTAACAACCGTTAAATGTATCCACCTATAAAACAAGTCAAGTAGGGTGAAGTTTGCATCCCATATTCTACAGTTAACCAATACAATTAATTTGCTATAACACATTTAGACTAAAAGAAGTATCGAATTATTCATGACGCTAGATAATGCTCCTGTACATCATCGATTGGGAATGTGTAAGAAAACTTCTTGAAAACATTCACTCGTATTTCAAGGTATTACGATAAACTTACAACTCCCATTGGTGTAGCATCTTTCTTATCGATTCGTTGTAGTCGTAAAATGAGACTACCAAAATCAAGCGCTTCAAAACGACGTTGTTGACCTAACAGTAAGATGATAGCACATCCAGCCCAATTGAGTCCTTCACCGAACATCTCTTCAACTGTATATTCATTCTGTCCAAATGGTGTACAAAATACTAATTGGATAACAGACCATAAACGGTGAAAATGTGCACAACTTTCCAAACCCAGTATATCACTGTTATTATGCTGATTACTTCCACTGTTACACGTTGAATCCCGTTTAAGATTTGATAAACGATGCCAGGTGTTTCCATCTGAATCCTCTTCAAGCAAAAAACTCTTGATTTTGTTCAACACCTAAGGAGTGAAAGATAATGAATGAGATATTAAAAACAGGTGAATAAATTAATATCTATCAAAAATTAGTATTCCTTGAAGTTCACCAATTGAGAACAACCTATTCTTCACTGTTTACAGTACGCTTATCACGAAATTTTTCTGAATAATATTCAGTTCATGAGATCCCGTATGGTTGGGTAATCAATAGGGTAATTAACAAGAACTTAGCCATTTCAATTATTCTAGATATGTACAGCTTTCATTTAACTATTTACTTCAAATTATCTACGCCTATCTTGTGATGTTAACACATCAAAACTTGAAAGTGATCATGCTTTATCCTATACTAATACAGACGCTTATCTACCGATGACCTTAAAACGGGGTTATCTTCATAATCTAGAGGTGAATAATTGTACTTTATGAAAAACATTACACTATGCCATGGTTGCAGGTGCACCTTATTTAAGAGAATGATGTAAAATGTCACACGATTGCAATGAGTATGTCTCAGAAAATAGATGATCTTTGTCACAATTCACTATCACTTGAACTGCCAGTTGAAGCCAAGTTCAATGAATACAGACGTCTCAAAATCTCACCCCATAATTAACAGGGAGTAAACTACCTGAGATTTTTTAAAATTTTAGGTAGCTATATATCACCATTTTAGCTGCTAATATAGAGTACTCCGTAAAACGCTAAAGAAATGGACATTCAAAACTATTTATTCCTTTCTCTGCAGAATTTATATTGTGTTCCAAGCGCGAACATGGATATGTGGATCTAGTTTGAGATGTGACCACTAAGTTAATCAACTCAACATTTTGGTTTATTATTTCTGTTAACTCGATGCAAATTAGCGACTAGATGCAGGTTCATGTATTGAAGAATGAGCCAAAGTAAACCAACATATAAACGTACAACCTGTCATTGAAGTGTATCACTTCAAATTGCTATACGCCACAGCAGCTTTCAAAGGAGAGAAGGATAGAAAAAAGATGAAAATAGAATATTCGGACCGCGGTGGGATTCGAATCAGTGACCACCGCGATTCTGGCCCGGTGCTATACCAACTGAGCTACGAGGTCTAACTACTGACTGGATTCTGATTTCACTTCTATCATCACCCAGTATGAATACTAGTCTGCAAAACCACTGCAATCTTAGTTAAATGATATTCAATATGATGCTGCCCCTCTCTAATTCAGTCAGATTTTGATTGAGATAAGAAGTCCTGGCTAAGCAGCCAAGGTACGATCAAGCGATAGTAACGTATCACGAATTCACATGGTAATCGGGCAAAACCCTTGGTAATTGGAGAGAAATAGTAAAAAAATCTGGTCAGTCGTCGGACCTCGTAGCTCAGTTGGTAGGGTACCGGGCCGGAAACCCGGTAGTGGCTGGTTCGAATCCCACTGCGGTTCAAATTTTCATCTTACTTTCATCAACCAGTATCAACACTAGTCTCCCAAACCACGGCTATCTCGGAAAGTTAACATGAAAACAAAATAGACAAAAGTGTATTAGAGGAGAGAGCTACAGTTACTTTGCACAATTCAGCAATAATGCTACCTAACTGTTTATGCTTTAGTGAATGGAGCTGGGTTTGAACTCATCACTTACTGATCAAAAATAGAGTACCTAAGTAAAATGATCCCTATTTCAATTTGATATTGGATACTTGAAGACAAACAGCCTATATTTACCTCTCTTCTACAGTTACTGAGTAATACGAATGAATCTCAGTCTCTTTTTGGCCACATCCATTTTCTCTTCAAGAATACACAAATTTGTTTATTAATTTTATCTAATCGAAGTGGTTACACCTGATGTCATTGATATGATCATTGATCGGATAGCTCATTAACTAACTGTACAACTCTTATGTCTGTCTCAAACAGAAATTATAACAACAGCACGACTGTATGATTAAAATCACTTAAATATGTCAATGTTAACTATATAATTATGCGAACGGTTTATAAAATGTACATTACTACAAGCTTTAGAATATAATGAGGATAAAAGATAAAAAGATGAGAAAATCTGAAGCATCGATTCAACAAGACGAAAATGCAAAAAAGAAACATATATATGTGAATACTTACGAATTCAAACAATGTCAGACCAGAACAGAGACGTTCCTTAGTTAATATTTCATTTTCTTTAGCCAATGCCAATTGCTAAAAATATACATGAGGGGAAAAATATAATAATAATAATAATAATAATAATAATAATAATAATGGTCAACATAAAAACAATGTTCACTTCGACATACAATCGATAAAACTAACTACTTTGAGAGAGAAAGGAAATCATTAATCTGATCATTGATTATGAATAATCAACTAAATAAACCGTTTAAAGTAGACTCACTACAACCGGTGGCTATACTCATAAATCTTTCCAGAATAGTATAAGATAGAAAAAAAAATACTGTTAACAAATATAAAATTTTTAACAGATAACATGTGACACTATGCAATGAATAAGTCAGCAATCTCAGTAAGATTATATATAACACAGAGATAGGAGGGGAAATTTGTAGTTCAGGATGAGGAAGATAAGTGTTTGGTGTTCTTTGGAACTTTGCAACTTGCTGTTAGATATTTCATCACCAGATTAGGCATCTTCATTAGCACTTATTTTATAATCTAAGCATTTTTGGATTTAGTTTTATCGCTTGTATTACACCGTAGTTGATTGGACCGAATTGGTCGGTTTCTATTGGCATATGGGCTCCTGCGCAGATGCCTCAATATTGCCTGCACTTTTAATTATATAGTAATGATGGATATTGGCTAGCAGTGGAATCCAGGACTCGTCAGTTGGATGTACCTGCCTCCCAGTGAGTGATGTTGTTCCCACAGAGTATATCCAGCTGACGGGTCCCAAACAGGACGAAATGAGCATCCTGAATTTCATTGCTAGCCACTATCTATCATTACATTTTTGAATTTGTCTAACTTGATGATGACTTTTTTGTGTGATTAAAAATAACCTCCAGTTGTAGCGTTATTTCGCAAGATAGAGTGCGCGAACAGTATTAAGGATGTGCGAAATGAAGTAGATATTTAACATTTAGAAATTGAACGCATATACGACTACCTCAGTTAATAACGATAAAATCATGAAGTAGGTCAAACAGTAAAAGAACGAGCATGTAATAAATACGTATATCCAATCGTGTCCGACACTTCAAATAAATACTACTTTGAATTAAAAATATATGACAACTTCAATGGTAGATATCTTCATGATATTATTACTATGCGAGTGATACTTCATTCCAGTTGGTAAATTAGCTTTATGTAGCTTAACATGTGATGCTGAAGTGAAATTATTCAATAAAAGATGATTGATTATAATTCTAGACACCCCCTCAACGCTGTGGCGCTCACGACACAAACATGAGTGGGAATCGTGGAAATCATTAATGGTTACATAGTACAGGTTTGAAAACCATTAGACGCAAAAAAAAAAGTAATCAATGGAAGTAACGACAAAAGATTTATTGGATATATCTTTATGTGGTTATATTCCATGCTTTTTCAAATTTTCCCAAGAACAATTTTGCTTCAGAAAAGTATGATTCTGTTTGTACAGTTTATTCGTTGGTGATCGACATATATTAGTCTCATGAAAAAATACGTATTCTTTCGGTCTATGAAAACGATATTCATTTCCTTTCTCCTATGTTTGTGTCTTATAACTAGTTCCTTGTATAGTTTCAAAGTATATTGGTATCCCAATCTAATGACCCAATAAGATCACTTCCCAACTGTTTCAGGAAGTCAATTAGTTAGTGAAATAACATACAGGATTTTAATGTAATAGGCATAGATAGAAAACAATGACGCTAGGACAGTTAAAGCAATCAAAAACATACACACTTACATCTTCAGTACCGATGCGTGATACAACCAACACAATATTCATTGACTCTGTTTCTTTTGTAATTCTTTATACTGAATTTCACGCTCACGTCTTAATTCATTAATTGATTTACCTTTGGTTCCTTCTGTAAAATAAAGAGAGAAGGGGATAATGATTCAGACAAGACATCAACCAAAGTGAAAAGTATGTTATTACAAAACTTGATCTAATATAAATTTTATTAGTGCGAGTGGTACATTATAAATCTAACAAGAGGAAAATAGTAAGTCAGTAATCGTGTATGTGTAGATAGAGTAGTGTGTGAGCTAAATTCATCCAAATAGGTCTTGAACAGATAATGCAATATGGACAGTACCATGCACTTAGAACACAATGTCATAGCCTCACGTATCCAGCAGAGTTTCTTACGCATTCATTCACTTGCGAATATTTGTTGTTATTATCATCGCAGACGTAAAAATACTTAAAAACATCTTAGAAGGTTATTCATGAAATGTTAGTCAATTGATAAAATCTTCAAGATGTGAAAGATAAGTATTTGGTGTCGTCCATACTTTGGTATTTGATCCCGCATGTCTCATTACCAGTCTTCATAATACTGTTAACCTAGAAAATAAAAAGTAGCTATCGTATCGCTAATAAAGCCATATAGGATAGCTTCAGTTTGACAAACTGTTCTCAAGTAGTAGAGTGACGACTGAAGTCAAAGCGAAAACTTAAGTCGTCGAAAAATACAGACTTGCACCCCTCTGTTTGGGTTACCGACCTCACGCTCTAATGACAAAGCTAAGAGATCAAACTGCAAACTAAGTATAAAGTTTACTCACCAACAGTTTCACCCTAGTGTTGTGTTATTATGCAATTTTAACACGACTGAATAAAACAAATTATGTTCTTAATACAGTCACTCGGGTAGTACCAAAATGGTAGTACTGCGTAAGGGTTCAGCCAGCCATACTTCATATGAGCAAATCAAACGAGAATGTTTCTAAGCAGATACAGTAGTGTAAGGTATCTTTTTAACATCACTTGTGTTTCTTCACCTAATTCTGAGTAGACAATGAATAACCAACACCTGGTTAAACAATCTATTGCTAACTATTAAGACTGCACACTACACACTGTTGATAGAAGGATATATTCATTCAATGTTTTCGCAAACTTCAAACATGTAGTCTGCAATAAAGCTGTAGAAAATATTATGTCATGAAGTTTTGACTCGCTGGCTTGGGTATTCAACTCACATAGATTGAGTTCCAGATTCGAGTCCCATCTACCTTATCTCCACTTTTGCTTAATCAACCTGTTAGTATTATAAGATCTTAGGCAATAAGTGTATTTCATAACTTTCAACACGGACATCTAAATCGGGTTGAGTTACATTACATTAATGTGAAATAAGAAAACATTTGAAGTGTCCGGAAAGCGACAATGTGCTAGGAAATACAGTAAAATCTGTCTTCAGTTCTTATTTGGCTTTTTCAATATCTAGCTTAAACTACTACAAAAAGTTTGACGAGAACCAACATAGAGCCACTATCTTCAGCTCAAATTTCATCAGAAATTTTTTCCAGGATAATGAAGAGAGAAAAAGTGAGAGGATAGGTGAAAAATTATATTGCTACGAATTATGGTGGTAATTATATTAAACTATTAAGCTCTCACTTCGATGCTACATAAAAGACGCAATTGTATATCCGATTAGTAACTAGATAGGTCGGTAAAAAATTTTAGTTCGGATTGTGAATATGTATATACGTTGGGAAATAATATTTCCCGAAATTCAGACACAAAAGAGGTTGAAGAAATAAGTGTTCCTAATCAAGCAGTTTTAGGAAATTTGAATGTCCGCAGAACTCCACACTTGGCTACCTGAACTGGCTTTTTGGATAATTGATCCCTAAGGTTGTTGATGAAAATCCCAAACATAGTCTGTTCATTAACGGTGCAAAGCAGCAATAAATATGTTCAGTTTTCTTCCAGTTTTATATTACTTCGTACCTTCTAGTGACAGGGTCGGGAATCAAATATACGGGGTTTTGGAATTTGTTCTTGTTTATTCGTCTAAGTGTAGTGTATCGTATCGCACGTTTAATTCTTAATCACAAAACTATTTAAGCTTATATGTTTACGGGCAAAGTTTTTGGGGTTCATTATATTTAAAGAGAATATATATGATGCGTTGATTTATTCCAGTACCTTCATAAGAACAGTTTTAACACGTACTCTAGACACTAGGGTACTAGAATTTCGCAACAAATACTCCCAATTTTATTTTATCCTCAATTATAACTACTTTCAACACATATAATGACGATCCATATACCTAATAAATTTGGATCGAATGAAAATTACACATGAAGAGAGATTATATGACAAGCATTAAATATATACACAAACAACTTGCCATCATGAGATGGAAGAGGAGGAAAGAATTGTCTTGGCATTTGTCCGATAAAAGGGCCTGCATGTCGTAGATCACATGAATCTTCAATTGACTAAAATACAAAGAGAGTGTTATGTCATGAGTCATAACAATAAAATATTGAAATTTATTGATACTTTTAATCATACCACCAGAGATAATTAATTATGAAGGCATTTTTTCAAGTAGCCCTTTTGTCAACAAATATCGATTGACTCGGTTTAGTAAAAACGGCAACGGGACAATACAAGTATCAATAAGTAATAACTGGAACATGTTAACCGATCGATAGCATTTTGTAACTTAGTCGCCTAGTGAGTAACGTTCTGACATGACTGTTGGGTTTCAGTTTTAGTGACAACACTGACACGCAATGAAATCTAGGTACACCCAATTGATGGTTGACAACACATAGTGCAAAAATGAACTCTGGATCCGACTGTGAGCCATCATCAAGTAAATCATGTCACTTAAATGTTTATTTTCTATGAAAAGGAATTACGATGAAAGCTGCTGGTAGTAAAATTATCTACACTGTCATCCAGTAGAAAAAGGGATTTTCACAGATTGTTGTGTAATCTGCCTTGTTAACAGGCTCCTTAAAATATAAGTAGAGTTTTTCACTGTAGTACGGTCATATTTGCTGAATCATACCATAATTACCCTCCTCCTTTCAGCATCAACTTGATGAGAGTAACATATTACGTTCCATTTCGATCAAGATGTAATATTAGAAATTGTTGAAAAAAGCCTTTGGACAGGGCTGCCCTCAACATCTCTCTACTTCCTGAATATTTACACAATTAATTTATCTGTTTATTAGTGTTCCTCAAACGTCCACGAGAAAGTTGCTTCTGGATGCTTTGATCCATGATAGTAGCAGCGAAAATCTTAACAAATGATAGAATATAACAGATGAATTTACTTAAAAACTCCAAAGGCAGCTTATCTCTAATACTGTTACAGAATATTTTTTCTACTACTTTGTATCACATGGCCTGACCGAATGTAAGTCAATATGCCGCGATCATACTTCTTGAATAACGCTGCATAATTCATCATTAAACATACTGGAAGCTGCTGCATCATACATCATCATTTGGACAGTAATTCTTCTAATGTATGCTTCTATGCACCACAACAACTGGTCTTAATGGAATAAATCTGAATTGCTGTCAACTGCTACACACGAAGGATTGGAAACACCTCAATCTACATATTTTTCTGTCCTACAACTATGCGGATACTTACTGATACTCCAACTTGAGAAAATGAGTTCTTTGTAGTCAATAAAGCATAAGAATTAGTGTAAACGAGACAATTATCTGATGAAATAGCCATCAATGCATACGGACCAGCTATACTCACTGTTTGTAACGCAACTATCGAATATGGTGCGGCATGATACAACCTAAAGATGGTAAAAGCAATGACAATAAGCTAAATTCATAAATCCTTTTCATGTACCAAGAAATGACACATTTCTATCCGTTTCATAACTTGCAGATAGTTTTCATGCTATTGTAAGCCCCACTTGTCTAATGTGCTACATTGTACACTGCAATAATTGTATTCCTTCAAATATTAGCAATATGACGTCGCCTGTAAAACGGTATCTCTCATATTAAATTCATTGTTAGAATATTATTATTATTCACTGAACACAGGCAACAATAGTGCCTAAAACATTATACTGTGGACATCACTGTACTACTGTGCAGCATATCATACAGACAAACATGAGGGACCTCTAAACGTTATCCTTGGGACACGACGTTGAAACTTGTCTTTTTTAGATTGAAAAATGACTGGTCTAACCTTTAGAGCTCGAAACGTTCCACTCATGGCCTAACAGACTTGGAATATCCCAAGGTTACCAAAACATCTTTACTGCGCTTTATCGATTGAACTTCGGCTTCCGGAAAAACTGGATATAAAGTCAGTATTTTTAGTGATAAAACCGAAAAACTCGCATTCATTACTGTGCTACTGATATATGCCTGTTTACTGATAGCTAATACAGTCTGTAAAAACTCCAAATACCAAATTAACCAACATGGACAACGTGAATTAGAATCCTTAACGATAAGATGTCTCATAACTTGCTGAATAAAATGGAATGCTGTCATCTAATTATAATACCATGAACATTACAACCTTCCACTACAATGTCACTGGATGTCGAGTATCTATAATATTCGAAAAACTACCTACATAGATTAAGAAAAGAGCGATTCGTGAAAAAAAATCAAAGCAAACCATAATACCAGAAAATCACAGTGTATGGGATTTAGGACACATCATTTTAGACTGATTGACAAAATTAACGTAGAACTTCGCACGTAGGTGCATCCGTTTCAGTTGCCATACTCCACAACAACATACAATGAACAAGTGGATAGAAAAAGACACATATCACAGTTGACAAAGTTAGGTGAGAGAATAAACAATCTGAAGATAACGTTTAGTGCAAATATTCAAGCTTTGGAAGACGTCAAAGAGTGAATGCATCTGCACCAATGTGGTCGATTTTCAGACCAGTCACAGATAGTCCTCAACCACTGATTCCTATCGTCTCGGGGACCTCAGCCGAGTGGTCTACATCTCCCCACACAACTCAGACCATCAGACAGGGACTTCATCGACTGGTGCACGTCTTGGTCTGGCCACTCTCAACCCTCTTCAAACCTAATCCAACATGTCACGTCGAGGTAGGCGGTGGCTCACCATGGGCAGCAAATGCCTAAGCCATCTCAGTAGACTGAATTCCACAATCTCATACATCATTTTAGGAAAAGTATCCAATGAGATATCAATAAAATAGCGTGAGTGGTGTCTAAAAAACAAAGGGACTGAATAAAAAAGGTTTAAAGGTGTTTCATAACAGAAGTCACATATTTTCAACTCGTTTATGGTTACAGTTATAGTGACTAACTATTCTCGGTGCAATAATTATTCCCTTAAATTTCCTCATTAGTCGTCAGATCTAGTGATACAAATCAATCACTCTTATTATCTGTTTAGCTTTCCGTAATAAACGCAAACAACTAGTACTTTTGAAACATTTCTGTGGACAGAATTCGATGTTAAGACATGTAGGTTGAAATAGGTGGTGATTATAACCAGCTGAGTTTCTTACGAGCAAGAATCCACAATGGTAATCATAAATATGCACCATATTGCTGTTTTTCATTCCTAAACATTAAGCTACTGATGTTAGGTGAGTGACTCACAGACCCATTGATGTTAAAGTTGAGTAAGTGACGGTCAGGAAAATTTAGGTGAATGCGAAACATTCAAAATGCATATCGCAGGACAACATTCGATTAAAATAGCTACACTCTGAACTAAACGTCTTTCAAGCGTTTCAACATCTACATTATTAACATGAAATAAGAGCTATTTAATAAAATCGATTAAAAACACTGGATATAGAAACCTACTAAATTCTTCTCCAACTGTAAGCAGCAAATAAGAATGTTACCAAGTTCTCGAAAATTTTGGAATACATTTGTCCTTAAATCAGTATATTTATAGATTTGCTGCAGTTGGGTGTACAAAGCTGAGAAGACAGCATCTGATTCAGATTTTTCTGAAGGTAATGTTAGCGACTGAGGCAACAAACGCACTAACCGGCAAACATAATCCCGTAACGTCTGATTAAGCTACAATGAAATCAACAACATTACTACAGTACTATACGCACATACGAATAGTAGACACACAAAAAATTAGATTTCATCTGAATGGAGAAATCATAGAAAACCACAGAGTTAGCACAGGTATTTCTCTGAAATTATTTCTTCTGATCTAACGTATGATCTTCGGGTTAAGTACGAATTAACCAGTCGTCGAATCACAGAACCTGTAGATAACAGTTTAACACTAACCAATTCACTGATGTAATGTAAGGAATTTTCATTACAAGGACCTCAAGACATTATAAGAGACTATTATAAACCAACTATAAACTCCAACACTTGTCTCCAAGGCTTTTTATCAAGGAAAGTTGGAAGTTAAGTTATTCATGTATACGACCAACAGCAAAAATTTAGATCAAATTGACATGACTTTCAGTTACATTGATGACAGTTATAAAGAATAATAACTGAAGATGTATTTTCTAATTAGTATTAATGAAATGTTAATAACCTCTCAAGTGGTTTATGTTCTAAATAGTTGGTTATTAACGCTTTTATAAATATCCTTAGCTATCTGTATTGACGTAACCTTTGGAAACTGTTTACTTCCTTCAGGTGAATTTCGAGAAATTTTCTTTTAAAACAGACAGCGACTAGTTAGTGAAATAGAAATCTTCAAGTTACTTCGTCAAACCGACTAAAGCAAATGTCATACAATAGATGAAATCTCTTAACACTTAAAGTGAGCTAAGCAACTAGAACTGATCCATTGAACAAAATTTGTTTTGCGATACTAAAAGAATAAACAATGCTTCCTTCTTTAACGATTACAAATTTTGTTGTCTACATAGTAATAAACCTTTGTTTATTTTAGTCACATCACTTTGTATTCCACTTCAGCAAGCGAATTCAATATTTTCACAATTTCATCGACTAATACAGTGGTTATCAAATTTTGTTTATAGACTAATAAAACTGTTCTCATTCTCATTACTCTGTTCTGATCCTCAAACCTATCTAACTTGAATGCTGCCAATGAAAAACAAGTAGAAAATCTGGTAGCTGGACTTTTGATGAGGGGCTTTTATCGGTAAACTTCGTCTCATTTATAGGTAATGGTGGTAATCATGACTAATAGCCCTTCGATAAACATCAATCGATCCATATTCCAAACTAGCTTTCCAAAAGTTAACACCTTGATATTATATCTACCAAGTGACAATATCGCACTAATAAGAATTTATTGGCGGTTAAATTACCGAACATATGCTAGATCGGCACAAGAATCAAAGCCACACAACACGGTTCTGCAGCCCAAAATACAATTGATTAAAATTAGGCACGTGAGGGCAAATATTTAAATCATAATCAATGTGTATAATGGCTTCGGTAACCAGGTTCATGCATCTTATGAAGATGATCGCCAAAGTTTAATAACATCTACCCGCAGCAACCCGTACAAAAAAACGAGAGAAATGAAACGCACTCAGACACCTTTAGCACATTTGTGTAGTAGGCAATGAGCTACAATTATTGTGTGAGGTCAACTGATACTACCTAGCTTCACAAACCCCGATAGGTGGAGTGCAGATTCGGACTCGTGACAGCCATCTCTCTTAAAAACTAACCCACAGCTCCACACCGGTACAAAGAGAAAACAAGAATTGGGCATCTACGATTTTTGAGTACCCATTGAATAACTGGCATCTCAGACACTAAGTCTTCTTAGGAAATGCAATGCTGTATCAACCAGTTGATAAAAGGCACCAGATCAATACAACGAAATCTTTCATAGTAAAAAACTGTGCCTGTCAACAACATCAAACTAATTTGATTCGATTTGTGTTTAGAAACAGAAAGCGAGAAACAAACTTTATACTGTCTTGACAACTTTCACATGCTCACCCGAAGTTTCACCACTTTATAATACTTCTACTTACCGCTCTTGTATATCCACCCCCACTTTTACTACTATTATTATTGTGACCCCCTATTATTTGTAACATTTTAATTTAGGTAACTTTCAAATCGAATCAGGTATTTCCCAACTGTGACTCAATGAGTTTAGGGAGATAATTACCAACCATAGAGTCACGTGTTCCAGCCCCGCTCCACAGGTAGTATCACTAGCCCTCACACAATAGGTGTGGCTCACTGCTTAATGCATGGATTTGTATAAGGTGGCTCAGTGAGCTTCATAACACACTTCTAGGTTAACAAGCGACTTTAGAATTTTGATCTGGTTAGCGAGAACTGCTGACTGGAGCAACTGGTTTAGAACAACATATGTGAGTTAGTTGTGCATATCGTTTAGATAAGTGATTTCCCAAATGATTATGCAGTCACCTCTATCCAGGTTAGATCTTTTCTTGCTAGTTCGAAAAGAATCTTCTTTCTACACTGTAGATGAATCATTTAACTGAATTTCCAAGGTTTCCAAAGTTGTGTAACCAAAACATGAACTACCATACCATATCCAACAGATTAACTACAAATTCAATCCGTATCCAGATGATGAGGGCTCATGAAGCAACTGTCCGATGTTTTGATCACCCTGATCTAGCTGGCAAGTACATTAATGATTGGTCAAGGTAGCTTGTAACTAGTCATGTCAGTTAATACCATCTAATGGAAAGTTGTTCTGGTGGTGTTGTTGATCCTATAGTTTACATCTGTCTCTAAATCCCAACTTGAAAAAGAAACCACAGTGGAATCTTACAACTGAGTTACACTTGGTTGTTTCATTCAGACGACAGACTGTGAATCTTGCAAACAATTGCTTTAAGTTTATCCTATCCTCAGGATACTCTTTTGGTAGCCTTGTGCAAGGAGCTAAATGTATGTAAAACAAAATGTATCACATAACTAGCCAAAGAAAGTCCCTTAAATCAATTAGTTTACTAGTTTGGTATACACGTGTTGCAGATCACTTTATTCAGTATAATAGTGATTGCGGTGCATAACTAAAGAGAAATTTTTTTAAAAACTAAAAGGCAAACTAACCAGAGACTGAGCAACTTTCATCACTTCTGCAATGACAACATACAAACCTCGATAACCCAATAGACGACATATAGCAGAGAAATGCGGTGCACCAACAAAGCCTCGATATAATTTAAATATTGTTTCAAAGCATGTATTCAATGATCGACTGCCCCAGATATATTGAGCTTCAACGGTTGGCGGTTTCTCACGTTCTAACACTTCAGTCAATGTAAAGTTTGTAGGCACAAATCTGTAAAGGTTAAAAATTTCAGAAATCCTTTTCTTTAGAGTAATTAAGCAACAGACAATTGGAGAAAACTAATTACTTCTGGGTGCTGACTTTACGTGATAAAAGTATTTCGATATATTAAAGGCTAAATGGATGTATCAAGAGTTTAAACCAAAACTATGGATGCAAACTTCACATCTGGAGCTGGGAAAACTCAACTTTCAAATCATTTATTTCCCACTAATAACATAGAGCATGGCACTGCCTTACATCATCATATTAAGAAAAAGCAATATAACGAAAAATAGACAAGTAGGAATAAGGTGATCACAATTTATGTAAGGTCATAAGACGAAGAGAGGAATTTTCTTCAACTGTATTAACTATCTTCTAACGATCGATTTACGTTGTCACGCAGACTTCAACCAAGAAAAAGTCTTTATTTTGCTTCGTATTATCTGCAACCCAGTCAAAACACCATACAGGTTACCAATGCTTTCACTGGCTTTTTCAAGACATACATCTAGGAGTTAAAAGTAATTATTACTATAATCAAAAAGTCGTTTTACGTGAAAAACCAACCATTTGAGAAAGCTTCAAATAATATTACCTTATTCTGTCATTTTGGATTCAAAGGTTCAATGTGAATGGAAAGTTAAACGTTAGACAAAGCACAATGAGTGATGCAGCATGTTGAGAGTGCAGATCGGAATATATTACTTGTTTCAAAAGGAAAGTGGTGCAGAAGACATAAAACTTTGTAAACTGTATAACATGGTATTTAATCCGTAGGGAATCCGTGAGGAAAATTAAACTTAAATAACGGGGGGGGTTGAAATAACAATAATAGTGGTTATAGTAATGATGAATAGTAGCTAGCAGTGGAATCCAAGATGTCCATTTCGTCCTATTTGGGACTCGTCAGCTGGATTTGCCTGCCTCCCAGTGAGTGATGTTGTTCCCACCGGGAATAAGCAATTATACTAGTGGTGGTTATAGTTATATTAATATTGTTAGTTGATAACGTAAAGGTTGAATGATAACAAAAAGGGTTATGTAAGATTTTTAAATCGTTTATAAAATGCATATAGGTTTAAAACGGGTGAAGATGTGGTAGAGCTAATAAACAATCAAATAATTAGGTAATGTGAGTGAGACAAGTTAATTGGAATTAATTGGAAATGTTTTGCTAAAAGTTGGGATTATTAAGAAAGATCAAATGACACCAGAAACAACTAAATATAAAAATAAGACGATAATGACGATATAGGAGTACAAAGATTAATCCGACAAAAGAAGTTGAAAAAACAAAAAAGAAATGTAACACATCAAAGTTAAGGCCAAGGCAGAGACAAAAACAAATAGGCAAACAGCAAAAAACAATCCGGAAAGAAACATGATAAAGAGGTTATAAATCAAATTAGATAGTAATTAGTTAGAACTGGGTAATGAAAGTAGTTGTGTCAAACTGATCATCTTTCAATCAGATACTTTTACCTCTAGGTGTTGATTTGTTACATTACAGACTCCGTAAAGAAAGTCTACAGTTTCAAAAATGACTTCTACAGAAAGTTGTTTGGCCATAGAAACACGAATGTACAACTCAATGGTTCACACAGCAGCTTAGTGGAGACGACCATAAGAATTCGATTAACAGCCTCTTCTGTTAACAAGGGACAAAGAAAGGAACCTAGAAATATTATGTCTTATGTATTCAAAAGGGTTACGAGAATGAGTTATTTTGCAATATTATTTTATTGCCAGCCTTATACCCTGTCTGTTCCATCAGGAATTATTGATTTATCACTAACACAATTCGTTGAATTACCAATACATTACTTACGGGCATGAAAATACAACCAGATATAGAATGGATTAATGGTTGGGGTGAACATCAAATGGTATCATATGGCAGACCGAATCCAAGCAATAACAAGTCAAGCCATGTGATAGCTCATGAAAGCCAAACACAGTTATAATACCTTCAATTGATCATTCATACTTATCAAGACCATGTATGAGATGAATCCTGATGAAGTCGCCTAACTAGGTGATAAAACATCCGAGGGAAAACCTCAAAGCTCGGAGAACACCGAACAATCATCATCCTTATCATGAGTTATAAATCTTGTCTACTATCTCACAGACCCTTTATTTACATACTTCAAGGATTTTAAGGTAAAAAACAAGCAAATAAGATGATGAATTTATAACTTCATATTGGCGTAATTTACTGGAAAATATGTATGAAAATCAATGATTACTGATAGTATTTAGTATATGAAGTGGTAGTATCCCTGGAATGAGACTTTTTTTCAAATTGAACACTTCAGTGTTCATTTCGCAAGGCACTCCCGTCGACTTATTCATTTCTAGTACGTATAGGGGGTCAAACACATTCTATTGAACTACATCGCTTAATAAGAAATGACTGACACTATTGTCACTTTGTTTTTTCCTTGGTGGTTTGTTCATGCATACAATGGTATTCGCGTTTATTCATACGTATGATGGTTCGAAGAATAGAACTCCACTGAAAAGCATTTCTAGCTTATCAACGTTGATTTAAGTAAAGATTGTAAAGAAAAACGAAAATTCACCAATCATTAACAAATGATCCAAAAAATTAATTGTTAAAAATTTTCTAACCTGTTTGTAGCATCGTTATAACAATAATTTTTAACTAGATCATATGTTAACTCCCAAAAGACATGAACAGTAATTTTCCCCAATCGTGATGTCACTAAATTATCTGCTTCACGGAGTAATGCATCGAAATCATCCAAATCTAGGTGTTCTTTAAGCATTCTGTGACACAGGCGATTACATTCAATAACTGCTTCCAATTCCTAAAATGAAGTAATACTGCATAGCTAATTCTTTTTAACAAAAAGGTACATAATAAGTTTGCATGAGTATGACACTGATGAAGCACAAATAACAAAAATAGAGTTACAAATAAAGAGTAGTCAGGTGACACAGTTTAACAAGTCGGGAGTTGTGCATCCTTGACCTCTAGTGAAGTTCTAAGTTCAATTGTGACCATCCTGCTATTGTAGGACTGGACTTTCAAACTAACGTGAGGCTAGGATCAACCAGCAGACAACATGCTTCATACAACGCCTGGAAATTAAGCTCAACAAGTGAGCGATACAGTTGGAACAAGATATTATCGTACAGTAGTGATTATCTTTCCAATTGTCAATTTACACCTGTATCAGTGTGAAATTCTAATAGCCATTTTAGTAGACGATTTTAAATCCACAAAAAGAGACAAGATAGGGATGAACAAGTTTCTAGTCTGTAAATAAGTAGGAGCTCAGTTATGCAAAGAATGCGAAAGTGTATGGCTTTCGGAAAATTTCATTCTACTTGATAAATAACCTCAAATTCAATTTAAGGCAACTCCATATTTCAGATTTATTTATCAGGTAGAAGGAAAGAGCCCGACCCCTGTTGGTAGATGGGCTCGTATGCGTATGCCTTGAGACTGCCGTATATTTATGACGTTATATTCATGTTAGTGACGAGCAGGAAAATCCAGGAAACGTGCGATCCGGCCCTATATGGCAACAAGAAATTACTATTATCATTACAATAACTAATATCCCTTGCACGATTGGTGATTATCATGCCCCAGTGGCTTGATGGATAATGCTCTGGCGTTTGAAGCGAAGAGTACTGGGTTCGAGACTCAGTGGGAATAACATCACTCACTGGGGTGCAAGTATACCCAGCTGAGGAGTCCCGAATGGGACGAAATGCGCGCCTTGGATTCCTCTGCTAGTCACCAAGATCAATATAAGTAGAGAGAAACTTTCTGAAGGCTATGCGTCTTCGCATACCTCACATCACCGAGGTTCTTGTCATCCACAAGGAAAATCCTGACTTATTTATATGTAGAAAACTTGTTCAGATCCATTTTGTGTTCTGAATTTCAAGTCATTAGATGAAATTACTTCCTTCATACATTTTGTTCACTTCCTTCTTAATTTCTGCTTATATCCTCTTCATGAACACATCATGTTTTTGCTGATGCTACGCAATCTCCTTTCGAAACCTAACAATCTTCATGTAATTCCTGTCATATTTCGATCAACTTTCACTGTTCATAACAGTTTCATAATGTGAATGATATTTCCGGCATTGACGTTCCACTCTTGTAGATTACTATGCTCAACAAACTCTACCTAACAAACTAGAGATACTCTTCAAAATTTGTACATATTTGCGATTGCAGAGCTTTTAAATAAAATTGAAAGAATGAAAGAATATCTTCGCTGAACTACCTGCTTTTCTTTTTTTTGTCTTAATGAATACTGTTCGTATATTGAAAATATGAACACCACAACTACTAGTAATCACATATAGATTCCTTACTTTTGGGATACGAACCATGTTTACAAATGCTGTGGGTAAGAGAAATAAAGATGGTCACGACAAAGCAGATCAAACAGGTTACAACTCGTAATTTGATAGTTGAACATCTAATGGTCAAACTGTCACAAGCTAAGCATTTCCAAAATGTTAGTGGTTACATAAGGATTCTGAAAATTAGCTGCAATTTAAAACGATGGATCAAGGGTCCCATGATTTCATTATCTACTGAGATTCGGACAGTGAAGAAGTGTCGCTAACTGTAAGAAAACATGTGGAATTCATAGTCCATTCCATTAATCACTCCATGGCTAATGAGTTGTGCATAATGAGAAAATTAGATACAAACGTGATATTTGTACATTTCTGAGTCAACTTATGTATGTTTGAAAAATGACTGTGATATCATACTTCAATTCCACAGCTTTGCTCACCTTAGTTTACTTAGAAAATAAAAGTTGATATTTACTGTACAACTCGGTGAATATTACTTCTAGGCTGGAAATGTAGTGTACTATGTTGCAGCCTCAGTATTCAAATATACCTGTGTAAAAATGGCTAAATATCATAAAGCCCACATGTTTGATCATCACTAAATTATACGTTATAAGCTATCACTAGATAAAATAGGAAAATTGTGTTCATAACTATTCTCCTATACACTACAATTAGATGTATCATCTTAAATGTACACAAATAAATACATGGATTTTCTATTTAAATAAGAATTGTTTTTTTTCCATAGCGTAATTAGAAAACGAAGTTTATCTAAACAATGTAATGTATTTGCGCAATACAGTAAGACGGCCAGTTTACAAAAAGCCTACATGGACAGAACAACACCTGAATTTTAACAGTTTTCGTCCAATCTAATACAAGCGAGATCTAGTTAAATGCCTGTTTAATAGGATCTATCGTATCAGTACATCAGATACGATGGATGAAGATATCAAATTATTGACCAAAACACTTATGGAAAACAGATATCCATTGAAGTTTATAAACCGTTGTAGAGGTCAAGTAGTACTGAAGCCAACTCTATACACAGTTCCTAAAAGCGTCCATATCATTCTACCATACAGAGGGGAGTTGAATAGTATCATTTTTAGATATAGGCTAACATCAGCCATTAAGAAAACACATTATGGAAAAAGCAAAACACATGCTTCACCACGAACTCAAACACTTTATCAATGATTAGGTCACATCCCATTGTTTTTACAATTTACATGTGTGTATGGTCACACATACATAGGGAGGAGTAATCAAGCCATGTAGTTGAGAGTGGGAGAACATGTACCCGGATGGCCTCAAAAACTGTGATACGACCTTCTCTATCTATAGTCAAACGTACTATAGAAACAGGTCACGAAATTAATGTTCAAACAGTTTTATAGAGGAACAGTCAGGCACGTATAGTGAGACTTGCAGAAGCCATAACCACAAACAAATTGAAATCACCTTTATGTGTACAAAAACAATTTGTTCTTACACTACACCTACCTTGGTAAACTTTATCTTCTTACCAAGATTAGGATGAACTAAGTCACTACCTGTTTGTTGTCATCTTTCCTAATTTTAATCCCCCATTATGTTAGCTGTCGTATTTGTTCTCCCACTCTTTGGTTGAATAATATGCTTGACAAGTAAATGTGTGTGATCAGATTGTTTAATATGTATTGCGCAAATACACCTACATTGTGTTCACATAAACTTCATCTTCTAACTATCGAAATTTATAGAAGGGACTAACTGTTGCAAAGTTTTTTTTTGCTGGAAAAATGTAACTATGTAGCACAAAGCTTAAAAGTACATGCACATTTATTCATTCAAAACAACGCGTACATATGGACATTTTATGCACGTGTCAACCATTTTTCCATAATATGATCACATACGCACACTACTGATCATTCTGTATGTTGATAAAATAAATACGAATTTTACACCCAAGTGTTAATAAAACTGAAAATGACTAGCTTATTTCATATGAAACGATACTACAGCTCAATTTATCAAAGTTAGATGAAACTATAATTCAATAGATGTGTGTAACTTTTAGTTGCCGAATGCTTTAGAAATACATAAGGAAAGTAGGTCTATGCTGTAAAAAAAATTGAAGATAGCCAGACTAAAACATGGTATCGGTTCGTGGAGCCTTTGACTCTTGCTCTGAAACGTGTAGACAAATAAATACTTCCAGGTTAGGATCAGCGTAACAACCGAAGTCGGTGGTTGAAGACTCTAGGTGATACAGCTCCGAATCAATTTGAATGGCCTAAATGAAAACATAAATTATCTTCGTCATTTCAAATCTGATGGCTTCTTGTGACTTTCTATGATATTTTCCCCTATTTCTTCCTCTTTTATTTTGTTGCCTTGCATCTATCTTAATCTCCTGATGTGAGATGGATCAGCTTGAAACATTATGCAGTATTGCCGAGTACCATGTTGATATTGACTGAATGAACGACACCACAAGTGTGTATAATTCTCAGAATATACAAAGGATAAAAAGGCGGAGTAAGTACCAGTTAACACACTTTCTAAATCATCAATTATAAACTATAAAACTACATACTGAAATTCAGCTCCTTCATTGACGATTTACACAGCCAGATGACATCATCGTCAACAGGTGCAATTTACACTCCATTAATGGAATTATTTAAAGCTACCGATTAGCAGCACTGAATGCTGCAAACCGTGAATAATTTATTTGAAGATAGTAAAAAAGAGAGCACTAAGAAAAATTCGGATGACACTCACCATATCTAATCGACATAACAAACTATTTCCAAAGTTTAATTCTGATAACTTAAACAGTTAAAACTAAAGGTCACAGGATTTTCGGTTGACTGGAATCGCCTTATCCAACCTGTGTTGTGCTTTTAATTGCAACCCTGACACAGAACTTAAAAATGGACTACCTTCCCACTGTTTGTAAAAAGACACCGATAGCTGTCTACTATTCACAGAACATAGAGACTTTGGATTTAACTATTTGGCGAATAGCCCAGTCTATCCTGAAGATATTCACAAAACTCAAAGAAGTTTCGTCCTAGAAAATATCAGCAAATTTACAGTATACTGTGTTAGATATTGGAAATCTAAGTAAAACATCAAAGTGTGGTTGAAACCTAATCGTTAATCTGAATTTCTATAAGATCCAACCTACGTCTAAATTAGAAGTATCAAGAAGAACAATAGTCACATCACAGATCTCCTAATGATATGTCACTCAACACAGTATGAAACACTAAGCTATTAGGCTTACTGATTATCATCTTGCATTCAAAAACTAGCAGTTAATGACAAGCAGAGATCAAACTATGAAATTCATTACCATTTGTTGATGAATTCCTATTATTACTAAGTGCAAAAGTTTTATGTAAGAAATCGATACATACATGAATAGCATTATCATCAGTGTATATAAAATGAAACTTCATACACATAAACTCAATCGACAGTTGCTACCTTAAAGTGGTCATCAAATTCCCTCGGATTGATCAAACTAACATATGGTACAAATTAATGAACATTCTCCTTATAGACCTAAGCTATATGCCTAAACCTAACATTGAATTCTACAATCTATGGTGAAAAGAAGAACAAAGAACTCCCAACATGGTCGAACCAAAACTTGCTTTAAGCCGTGTAGGAATACCTAGCTAGGTCTCCCGAACGGAAGGGGTACTACGAATGGTCATATATCCGAAGTAAAATTATTCATTTCCATTCAGTTTTTTCTAAATTTCCTAAACGTTTTAAGCACACAACTGTTCTAGGTCTATTGGCTGCTTGTCTACTCATTTTCTTATGTCAGTTTGCCTTTACATTTTTCTCGTCTTGAACTTTTACCCTGTCAACTAATAAGAAGAGCATTTCCAATCGGTGCAACTAAAATAAAGCAAAAGTACTTCTATCTTAGATCTTTTGTTATAAGTATCAAACAGTGAGATAGTATTATACAGTAAATAAGATTCCTGGCACAACTTATTGCTCATAAACATAAAAATTCCCAACCAATAAAATTCAAAAACGAAAAACAGTAAAACTCTAAAACTAATTCAGAAAGTTGTATGATTACCTTGGTGTGGTTATGAGCAATAAAGTTTGTTGGAAACATCATCCGTCAGGTTCCGAAAACCATACACACAGATGCCTGACACTAGCTGTATTTCTTGACCGAAAAACGTAACCCGAAACCATCGATCTAGAGGTCGTGAGACAATGTCTCTCACTGAAAAGAATGTCAGGTAGGTGTATATCATTCCGCTGAAGGCTCTGGTCTGTATTCAAACACTCATGAGTTATCAGGCGAGTTCTATACCTTGAGTGGTATCTATCCACGATGTTTACTCTCCACTCTTACTCAACTTTATCACAAACATACTTATGGAGGTCTACCAGTTATCGTCTGAATTTACAGGGATTGATCTTATCACAGTGGAATCCTAAGCAGATCTAGAGTACTCAGATGACATAATCCTGTCAGAACATAGTCTTCTGGATGCCTTTAGTACCAATTTGAGAATGTTTGCGATGCGTCCCTTACCACCCAAAAGCGAATTATTACTGAAGAACGGGTCTTCTCTAATGCCTTCTTTAAAATGATGCGGAGTGAAGAGGCTGAGTGTATTGAAAACTTAACTCTCTTGAACAGTCAAATCAACCCTGGTAGGTCAGTGACTAGTAAAATCTTCGCACAAATACAAAAATCCCGCTTGGCTTTCGCCAACTTATGCCATCTGTGGCACACCCATGATATCCGATTGCCCATTAAGGGTAGAGTGTACTGCTCTGTAGTTCCCTCTATTTTACAAATGGCGGTGAAATATGATCATTAAAGGTAGTGCACGTGATAAGGAAGCAAGTGTTCCACTACCATTGCCTTCGTAGCACACGCCATGTCATAGTGTCACCATGTGAGTATTTAGAAGTTAGGTATAGCGTTTTAGGGAGAAGAGAAAAGTTAATCGAAAAAGCTGTGTTACCCATGGTTAGTCACTATCTGCATTGTTGCAAAATTTTGGTTGAAGTAGGTTTACGAATGAAAAAGGTTAGAGATGATCATATTGAAACATAGTAAAAGTTCACTAAGTCTCTGACTGTTAATCTGATCCAAGTGGGGGAATTGTAGAGCTCTAGGTTGGAGTCTACGTAACTACAGAAACTTGGGGTTGGAGAAACTGTGATATGTCGCAGAATAGATCTCAAGGGAGCAGATGCACGCATACACCATCTTAATCGTCATATCGTGTTTCGTTATCGTCTCTCTCTCTCTCTCTTCTCACGATTTTCTACTACTTTTTACTTTTTTCATTATTTCTCTGTCTTTCAATTTGGTGCACTCTCGTTTGGTGTATTGATATGAAGTGTGGCAAGTTGGGCGGGTACGCAATAATGCGGGGTCCCATGTAAATTTTAACTAACTTACTTAGGAAATCGTCTAGTAAATAAGACTGTGACAGATCTAGCAAGAGAACTAAAATGTTGTTATAATTTAATACAGTACCCGAATACCACTCGTATAGAGACGATGAACGTAATATTCCTCGTACTTTTAGTATTCAAGTAAACAACAGAATAAAAACAGTAGTGCAAAAAGGATTGTAAAAACAAATTCGGATTATATCGATGAGAATTTAGATGAACTTAGCATATACTATGGTATAAACTGATTTCAATATTCAAAACGTTTTCATTCTCTCCTTTTTCGATTTCCGTTCACTACAACGCATGACATCATCGTCATACTCTAAATTACTTCAACAAGCTGATTATCAGAAATTCGTCCTGTAGCGTTATCCAACATACTGTTTCCATGTACTCAGAGACCCCATGCAGTAATACAGTAAACATTCAGCTAAAACTACTGTGTAAGGGTTAACGACACTGCTTGGCTACCCAAATCATGATAGGCGGGACAAGGTTGAAAATTGGGTGTCTGTACCAATGAGCCAAAGCTCTCCCATTAGACTAAGATAGTATAATAACAATTAACATAACAGACAAACCGATAATCCAAAACTCATCAGCTCGAATTCCGCCGCAACTAAAACCTGCGCTTAACTTTAACCATCATTCCTTTACATTAGGATCTTTCTGCGAAATTCAAGTTGCCTGAATCCAACTGGCATTCCATCACTCTCTTTTGTTAAATTTAGCCCGAATTGGATTGGTACAGAAATAGTGGACTCGGTAGGTAGCATGCTGATAATGATAAGTGGAAATTTAAGTATCACCTTATCACATAACATAGCAAAACTTTCGGTGATTAAACTGATGTTGTGGTTTGGTTACCAGTTAGACCTTATGGCTCAATGGGTAGAGATCAATAACCAAAAGGCAAGTGGTTTTAATCCTGCTACGATTTAGACTTGCTTTTCACTCCATCCATCACCCCTTTACATTAAAACCATACTGTTAAGAAACAGTTACTTACAGTAGTAAATGAGAAAACGGAACCAACTAATCAAAGGCTAAGATATGTAATAATCGTAGTAATAATGTTGATATCAGTGACAAACTTACGATTATCCCAGTTATATCTGAACTGTGAAAACGTGAAATAGCAACTTCAATTGATTTGTATATCGCCGTGTTCATTCGCTGACATATCAACCGATTAAGATCTATAGAACGACCAAGTAATTGAATATTTTTCTGTCGTAGTAGAGCTGCAGTATAACGATTCGGCGGTGGGTACGGTTCACGCCATGAAGCCGTACGTTGAGCCTCAGCTCTAAAACGTTTATCTAGTAGAATTGATGCGGCATAACGCTTATAATGTCTGAATACTTTATCACCCAGTTTATAGACTAACTGATCAAAGACTAAATTTGCTTCAGCTTCTATTTCTTCATAGAGGAATCTTCGACGAAATCGATTTAATGCACACTCAGCAGCATCGTTGTAAAGATCAAGCATATACAGAAGATATTCCATGTACCCAGGATGTTCTGTCTCTAATATATGATCTGTGAATATCCATGGCAGACTCATTTCAATGGGAAATTGTATACAAGCACCATTGGTCATTTCTAAGAAGAATTCACGATACCATAACTGAGATAGGTCACAGCATTTGATCAGAGTTTCTAGAGAACAATTTACAAAAACAAACGAGAACAGATTTGATAAAATAAGGTAGACAATTTGATAGACTTCACATAAAAACACTATGGAGCAGGAGGGAGGGAGAAGAATGCTTAACGACCTCAGTCGGAAAACCGACCTCATACACATGCAATTCAATATTTTCTGGTACCTGAGCCAAGATATTTAACTGGAAACCAAATCTTAACTTTTTCTTCATGACAGCTAGGTTGAACATATCACGAAAGCATCACATAATATACACAACTCATGACCAAGTAATAGAACGAAAATGAAGCACATCTTTGGCTGTATCCATGGAAATCTAGTGCATTGTGAATTAGAAAAATGTATCACAAGTATATTTGCAACGAATATTTATGCATAATGATCAGTTTTTGACTTATGTGATATTTCAAGCAAAACTCCTGCTCGTGACCTCGGGAATCATTGGAACTACTTAGATAACCAGATCTGAAAAATTATGATTTGGTCTAAATATTTATGACAATATATTTTATAACAAAATGATATTTTTATTGAAATGGTAAGATCATACCCATACCCAGATAAACACAGAAATCAACGCAGAACCTGGCACAGGAGTGTATCAATTCAATTTGTTACACTTCACAAAAGCATGCAACGAACAAGTAGATGGGAACGATATTGAGGCAAACAAAAGTATGTGCGAGGAGAAACAATTTGAAAAAATGTTAGTGAAAATGATTAAAATTTAGATGTCAAAGAGTGGATAAATCTACACCATCGTGATCGATTTCAGTAGTATCACCGAGATTCTCCAACCATTGATTCCTACTATCTCAATGACCCCAGTCATAAAAAAACTACATCTCCATACCTAACTCAAACCGACAGTCGCACACTTTATAGAGTGGCAATATATCTTCGTCTGACCACCAACCTTTTGCCAACCCAATCCATTCTTGAAAACTTCAGGTGGTAAACTGTCACGTCCTACTACTTTACATCCTTTCAGGTTTAGTAAAGCTTCTCAACCGATATCGATGAACCATTCAGATTCGGGCTAGATGTTGAGTAACTGAAGAGTTGCTGAGGGACAGTTCAACTGAATTCCACTGTTCTGCTCAACATTCTACCCACCTGTTCTGGAAATTCATCAGCATCCAGTTCCTTCCCATGATGGTTTCACTTACCATCGTCTTCTTCTTCCTGCTATCCTTAATAACAGTAAATAGTTGCAGAGTGTTACCCAATCCTAATGTCTTCTCCATATCTCTCACTCTCATCACCCACACTGCTCCCCACCGATCAGAAACTCATGGTCAACTTACGTCCAACTTGCTTTCACTCTTCACAATGCTCACAATCCGGTTCAAAACAGTCTTCTATCATCAATCAGTTCGAATGACCTTGCAGAAATCCAATGACGTTTGCAACCTTCAGCTGTCGGTTACCAACTGTCTTCAATGCTGTTTCTACAGTGGACTTCATATCACCCTACACCAGCTTTCCACAGGATCAACATTGCTGTCATGTTCACATGAATGCCTAGCTATCTCTTTCCTAAGTACGCACTTCACGTCCTCCACTTCCAGTCAACCATAGATAGGCTTCACTGTCCCACGTTTCCTCTGACCAGTAAGGCACAGACATACACGACCCTGTATTAGCGTGTGATCCGAGTCCAAACAAGTACTCTAGAAGGAGTGGCAGTCCTCCACTAATCCTCTCTAACGATGGCTTATATCAATGTCATCTATGTGTCCATCATTGGTTTGATGTCAGCGGATGCCATGTGAGGCAGTGCCTCTCCGTATGCTAAAAATTAGCGCTGGCCACAAACAAGTGATTATCACATCGAAATTGCAGCAGGCGACCACCATTATGGTTTCGTTTGCATGGGATTCTGTATATACCTGCAAAACGCCTTTACAATTGGCGCATTATTCCCACTCAAGTGTAGAAGTCACTTGATATTATGACTACATCTAAATGTTTTGCCTTTTGTGGCAAAGTTGACAGCTTCTATAGAATTCATCCTTTGCATCATTCAAACTAAAGCCATTGGGTGCACAGGCGGAGATTATGAATAGGCGTCGGTTGGCTTTACCATCCTTTCTAGATCCTTACAGATCCATTCAGTTGAACAGCCTGCAGATGGCTGTTGACTGATATCCAGTCGAGAAGCGCACTTCCTGCCTTACGACTCAACGCTATGCCTACACCAGCGAGTCCTCGAGAGCTAGCCTCTGGGTCTCTGGTGAATCTTCAAAACTCGCTACTATCACCAGATGGGGTCAATTTAATAAACACGCCCAGATCCTCTATACGTGTTTCACAGACAGTATACAAACATGGCTAGAGATTGCAGAGTTCTGGTGAACTATGCTTACTGTCCCATTTACTGAGTTCGGACGTTCAAAACTCCTACATGAAATCGATGGTGGGGTCTTAGAAGATTGTGAATGAGGTTTCAATGGCTTTGATCATTCGTTATGGTCGCAAAATCAGAGCTTGGGTAAGGTGTAAGAGGCCTAATATTAGTATCAAGAAGTGAAGGCAAAGGAGACAGTTGAGCAGGATAGGTTATGTTTGACTGCATCTTGTATGCTGCTGGAAGCGTGAGGGTAGTTGATAATTCCCGACTGCCCATCCTGTGGAAGGCTAGTTTTTCTTAAGTTAACTGGACGAGAAAAAGATTTGTGTGACCACAGGGCTCACTTGACATCCGCCTTTCATACAGCCTTTTGAGGATTGTTGGCGTGTGGTGTTATTGTTTTAGAGACGATCTTTTCTAATCACTCCCCTTTCCATAGGGAAAGCAGCATCAGTGTAGCACTGCTGGTTATCCGCCAGAAGCATCACACTGTTGTCACACCCCATCAAGCCCAGCACTACGACTTCCTCTTCGGACCCTTATCCTAGCGCAGCGACCCACACTACAACGGTAACTGCTTTCGTCTTACTATCCAACAAACCTTTCTAGCATGATAGGACCTGGACATGACAAGCGCTCCAGCCAGTGTAGCTAGCCGGGTCATTGTGATGTACAACCCCGACCACTACGTCGTAGTGAGACGATGGGGTTTTTTGTTTTTTTCCACTACCAAAAAGTAAAATGAGAGTAGTGAATTCTTTTTTGAACGTTTTCCCAAGATGACCTTTTTAATGACTCACTTGTTTTCGTTTCTATTCTTTCTCCCGTTTCATCTCTTTACATTTTGTTTTATTATTTGTATGGCGTACCTCTTGGTGCCCATGATGCACCAAGTTTGTTACAATAAAAATAATGTACTAGGAAAACAATAACCGATCAAAAGTAGAGTGCTAAGTAACCAGTAAATTCTTATTAATGTATGCGAAACCGCTGCTCTATACACTATGACGCTTACATAACCATACAATGAGGTAAACGGATCTTACTGATATCACTAATTTCGTTGACAAATTGGCTATTATGCGGTAATCGCTACCATAGCTTAATCTTCAGTGCAAGTCTAGGACGATCGGTTAAAGCAACTGCGTGCTATTGCAGTGTTGTAACTCAAAACTTGACCAATACTTACGTATATTAGCATTCATTCGAATTATCATTTCTCAGCCTTTGCAGAATACTCTACGAGATATGCCTCAGAATCGGTCCAAATAGGCCAGATGCATCTACACATCATCTTAATCGTCACATCTCATTTCATTACTGTCTAATTTCTCCTTCTCTTTCCACGACTTTCTACAACTTTTAATTACTCTCTTTCTTGTTTCGCGGTCTTTTTTGGTGCATTCTTGCTTACTGTGCTGTTATGAGGTGTGGCAAGTTGGACTATTACGCAGTAATGCCACATCCCATGCAAATTTTGACTGGCTGATACTTTTGGAGGCCGCGTAAAGGTTAATTTATCATTAGACAACAATTGTCCCCTGAAAATTATTCACAATAATAATAGTAGTAGTAATGATGCCACGCAAAAGAATAGCTATTGCTGAGTCGGTTCCATAGAAAAATGTACATAGCACGCCACCACATATGGTTCGTTCACAATAACTTAAAGCAGCCATTTGACGCACATACTATGCTAAAAAGGTCAACAACATAGAGAAAAATAAAATTATGTACCCCTTGTAGACCCTCACAGCATTTGAACGGTGGGGTTACGTCCAACTGCATTTACCAGTTTACATGTAGGTGCCATCAAAAATACATAGGGAGAACCCACCAATCCATCACAGAACACATTTAGAAATGGGTGCAAAAACAAATCAAATTGAACACAACCCACTGAGCCAAGTAACAGATGCCCAACTTAATCTATCACTAAACATATCATGAAGTTCATTTGTATGCATCTTTCACACCCATTTACAAAACCTAGTCGGAGCATATACTCGGATTTGTTGAAGCTCTAGCTAAAATGGAGTTTATACCTCTTTCATGCATTCAAAAACAACCTGTTACATTAAATTTACCTTGCCAACTCAGCTTTAGTATCAAACACGATTTATAAACTATCTTCTTTTTTTCACCTATGACTCGACAATCTGATGTTTTTTATACTGGTTATTTTTAGGCTCACTTATTCTCTTTATATTTCGTATAAATATGCACGACAGGAAAATGCATGACCAAAGTGCTCGAAATGTATTGCTCTAAAACACAACATCTTTAGTGGTTGTCTCCCAAAGTCACTCAAAAAAATCCTACATTTACTGAAGTATTTCCGATTACAATCATCGTCAGAACAGAACTTAGTAACTTCGTTTTATGTTCTTTCTTTTAACAGTGGATGAATCATTCAGGGGCTAAAGTGGTGTTAGCAGGAATCTGGTCACGAAATAATTTATTTTGGTATTCACTTAGTGTACTGTGTTGCAGTCGTATTCATCTATGACATAGTAATCACAGTGCAAGATAATCGTTAGCAAGTGATAATCTACGTTTCTAATCAATAGAGATTATTTTGATGAAAACATTTCCTTCATAATCACCTACAAGAGCCAATAAACAAAACGATAAGCCACCCAACATTACTTTGTAAAATTGAAAGTTCAATAAATATCTCAATAATAAATGGTCAACTACATGCACAAGCCTACCTACAGAATTTGTGTGAAAGGGGAAAAATAAGAATAATAAACTTCCAACTCACCGCTAAAGTTCAAAAGATATGGCCAATAGAAACTATGCTTTAGAAAAGTATCTATGGCTGATAATGTTGACGAGTCCAACTCCTTTCGCATCATTTGTTTACTTGATGAAACTTGTTCAACCATCAATTCTAGCATAGTTCGTACTAAATATAACTGACTAGAAGATGGACCAACTCGACGTTTATTCGAATCAAATATACTGCTTGTGCTAACAGATCCTGTTGGACTATCGTTTGCCAATGAAGCAGCAACAGCTGCCAATGTGGAATTCGCTCCTGTTGTCATACTGTTATTGTTGTTCGAACTGGATAGTTTTGAAGAAGCAGCTTTACCCCATGATTTTGATCCTGTTGTAGTACTGCCACTGCTAGAATGCATCACTTCTGAGTCCATCGCATCCGACAGCTAGAAAAAATGAAGTAGGTTACCATCATATAAAATGTGCCGTTTCACTGAGGGAAATTACCTGAATCCTAAGAAAAATTTTAAAGGATGATTTACTATCCAAGATAAGAATACCAAAACTACGTGAAAACCAACGCAAAAACCCTTACACAATTTTATTTGAAAGCCAAAACGTTCAAAAAAAGCTTTGTCTCTTTTCGACAACGACGGCATTTGGAAAAACACATTAATAGTGTGAATTACGTACTCCATTGCTTCGGGTATCTGACCACCATTGCCTTCACAGCATGGGTCACATGCAGTGCAGCCCACACAAGGGTAGTGAGGAGGACAGGTACCGAGTCTTAAACGAAAGGGATATGTTAGTTGATGTGGTTGTATACCTTCATCGATTACAGTGGTTAGGAAACATTTAACGTAGGCCTAGTCACCTACTTAAACCAGTGGCCTTAGATTAAGTAGGGTTGTCTGGCAAAATCTAGGGGCAACCAAACAGCAATACGGCATCTTTCCTTGAAGCACATAAAAGGAGACCTTGAGATTAGAGTATGAGTGACAACAGAAACCGATGGTTAAAAAGTGTAGGTGTTACGGCTTACAATCGATCTCAGTGACGCAGATCCATTCACAACTTATGTTCACCTCAACCGTCATATCTTATTTCATTGCTTGCTGAAAACCATTCTTTTGTTTTAAAGGCGTTGTCTGACCCATATTACGTCATATGCAGTTCTTTGCCTTTTCTCTTATTGCTCTGTATCTTTATTTGCTGGTGTGTGGTGTGACAACTTGGACAGTTACACAACAATATCAGGTCCCATATTGACATCGACTGGTTGACTGACTGGCTGACACCAGACTAAAGTGAATGGTCACATACCACTCATGATGACTTTTTCGAAGTGAATGGCAAATAATTACATCACCCAGCTACATAAATAGCAAAAAACATAACGAGAGGCCGGAAATGTTGTTTCAGTTGCAATTACATCATGTTACACCAGATAAAGAGGGAAAACAAATGGTACAAGACTGTAACATCGATATCAGTATAGAACAGTGGGAAAGAGGTAAAATAAATGGTTTATTGAGAGGAGTAAAAGGTTTGTAGCAATCAGGTGCTCGGAATTCAAAAATAAGGCTTGAATTTATGATCCATAAGGGGATAAGAAGCATTGCCTAAAATCTCAAAAAATTGATTACACACGTCTAATACACTGTAGTCACAAAGTCTACACTTCCGTGTTCCTGTAACTATAAAAATGCTTCTGTCACCTCGGTTACTATATCAAGCTTAAGTGGTTAGACGCAGCACGAGTCTCAAAAGATAATGCTTCAAAAATTTATCACCATAGTGAATATCTTCAGCTGGCGACGTCAGCTATCGTCACATTAGATGACAACCCTGTGTGCCTTAACATAACTGCTTGAGTTAAAGTAGCAAAACCTTGTTTAACACTTGTATTACAGTCAAATACTGTGGATAAACACTCATCAAAAGACCGAGTCAAATGTCGTATTCAGGTAAAATAATATACTACCATTCTCAGTATGAACACTAAAGTAACTACAAAACCATGTATATACCTGATCAGCACATGTTGCTTGGATTGCATGTATCAGGCGTGTCAGCATAATCCGTTCTTTCTTTTTTTGTGCTTTAAGTAATGGTCCACTCAACTGACCAACAACAACTGCCTGTAATTCACGATAAACAGAACGTCCAATAGCCTCTGAATAACAAGCCTCAAGGCGTAAAAGTTGTGTTTGGACAGATTTAATCATACTGACTATTTCAACCATAGCAAATCTTTCTTCTGAATTATAATTATAACGAGTGGCCTGAAGGATAAAAATAAAGTTGGTAATAAGATTAGGAACGAATTATAGCTCAGAAAAATGCGTGTCAAATTATTGTCCCAATCTTTTAGCTTAATAATGTAATGATCCAAATTCAAGGATATTTTTTCAAGAGTCTATACCAAGATGTCGGCAAGCACTAATCATGTTTTATAGTGAATTACGAACAAATTACCTTTGAATTTGTAACAAATTTAAAGGGCTGGATATCTAAATAACAGACCACTAAACGTTCACCGCAAATTTAGTTTCGTATTTGTTGAAACCCATTAGATAACAGTAACAGATGAAATCAGTATATTTTAGCATTACAGTTAAAGACATACCCAATAATCTGCTTAGACGAGTGCAACGAAGAGAAAAGAGCAATGAGTGACACCTATTGTGTGAGAGCTAACGATAATATTTGGTTGCCCAGAACTCGGCAAACGAAGCGGGATTCGATCCTGTGATCCACTCACTGAAAAACCAATAAGCCACAATAAACACGAAATTTACTTTTAGGACTTTTTGGTGGTCTCACCACAGTGCTCCGTCATTTAGCTTACTAGTGAAAATGCATTTTTTGATTGACTGTATTCAATTAGTACTGAAAAAGAAAGTATGGCTTTTAATAACACCTGACAACTAATACACACCACTGTTGCATATTAAATGGTTGAATAGGTTACTTTTTCAACATCTGCTCTACCAATAGTTACGGGAAGTTTCATGATTATAAGTGTTTTCTTAAAACAATCATGGTCTTACCACTGTGGTGTCTTCCTAATGTCCAAAAACATCAATGACAAACGACTCAATATTTGTGATCATATCATCAAAAGGTGGAAATAGTAATATTTTATAACCAAGATCTTTTACTTTTCACTTTAAAGCTTTTGGAATGAATTAAATGATTGCTGTTGACACACGTATTGCTGATAAAGACAAACCAGTTATTCAGTGGACAAATCCCCTGTATTTGAAGCTCTGAATGTTGGGTTTAAATTTAAGTAGGAACACAGACTGACAGGAAGAAGCAATTTCATCTGACATCAATTTACTCTGTTGGAAGCAGACCCTAACGTTCAGGCACTGAATCAACAGTATCCATAACAGTGACATTCAAACGGTGATACAGTATTTTAGTTCTCACTTCTTTGCGATTTCTGAGCCTGATTTTTCTACTTAACCATTATGGTGTGATAGATACTGTAATTAAATAAAACGCAAGTGAAAAGTGACAAGGTTAGTCAATAAGACTAAATTCTTCTAGGGAAAAACGGCAAAATAAAACGAAACATACTTTTTCGTAATTTTCAGCATCTTTTGGACATTCATGATTTGTGAATCCACTAGCACAATGGGCAAGCTTCCATGTAAACGTGTCTAACACTTGTACAGACCATCCTGATAAATACTGAAGACCTCGAAGTGCGAGATCATATAGCTCTTGATTTTCTTTAGCAGAACGTTCATTCAATCGAATTGACGTTATATTCGTATGCCAAGCCAAGTCTGATGTCAGTGATGTATACTCCTCCCTGAAACCATAATTTTCTTGCGTAAGACACTTTGAGTGTAAGGGCGTTAAAAAAACTTTAAGTGGAGTGCAAATTGGGCACAAATAAGTGTGCTGCTTGACTACTGCCTTTTTATAGTCTAAACAGTATCAAAACCTATATTTCAAATCAATTTGTTGGGAATTACAGAGTTAAGCGCTCAGATTACCTAACCAAAACTCCATCTCCTTTTGTTTGAATGATAAAAGTAAAGAATACTTACGAACAATTTTATATCAAGGTAAAGTACGATGACATCTGTTGCATATCTGAGGTTAGATAGTGCTACAGTGGATGAAAGTGCAACCTACCCTTATGGGTAGAAATTTACGGGTTGGATGCTAACCTTCATATTACCCATGACGGACTATTATTTATTTGAAAGGCAGATGATAACTTTACAAAACCATGATGCCAGCATATCATCGATAGCAAAGTGAAGTAGAGTAGGTGGTCACACAATACCATGTATAATCCTACTCTAGAAGAATGGAAGCGAATGGCTGTATAATCTGTATGTAGCTGAGATTTTTATTCAACTAACTGATACGTTATTATAGTAGTCTGATGAATATCTTAAAATGTGTCCGGACTGTTTTGCCATCTGACTACCAAAACCTTATAAACACGTAAACAAGTGGAGGTTCATTTTATGTGCGGTGTCGGGCTTTAGACAGGATGATATTGTTACAGCCTTCTGTGGCGATGTAGCTCATCGTACTGAGCATTCAGATCTTAAGCGATGGCTTCAAGGTTCAAGCCTTATTTCCTTACTTTGACCTAAGCAATCAGATAGTAATGTAAGCCCTCATACAATGAATATGGCTCATAGCCTAGCGCACAAACTACTTAGTATGAGTTACATTTCGATTTATTGTTTCAGGAGAACAACGCAGGGTTGTGTATAATCTTTGTTTTTGTTGCTATACTTCACGGCACAACAAGTCAACTAGAGAAGAAAAAATAGGCGAAAATATTGATAACCTAAAAGGCCAGGAGAAAAAAACGAATAATAGTAGGAGAAATAAAACGGTATTTCCAGAACTCAGATGAAGACAAAGTCTAGAGAGATGAATGAACGCGGTGGATTTTTTAACCATATGACAATGTCTGAAACTATTGACTTCGATTACCGCATGATTCCGAACCGAGAAGTCTACATCCGCAATACGAATGAGATCAAGAGTCAGAGGCCTCAAGAACTGATACCACACTTTAGTCTGTTTATCTCTGCCCTCATTCGAATTTAATTCTCCATATGAAGGTGTACGGAGGTAGACATGCGCAATATGTACACCTTTCTCAAGTGATAAAGGTTTATACTGCTGTCAGCTGACTAAACAGTAGGCTCAAGTAACAAATGACCGACCTGAGGTATAATATTGGTGACAGCAGTAAAACACGATGATATTGGGTTGGCTGCAGCCATCCATGCAGCTATGTAATACCCAAGTAACATCATCATGGATGTCAAAACTCGATGAGCGTTGTCAAACAAACAATAGCCCTTTCCCAAACCGTAACTACAAGGGAGAAGCGTGAGCAAACATCTTTTTACCACTAATGTCGAATCCATTTTTTTTAACAAATTATACTAGATCTAACTGTTTTATCACCTAGGTGAATAAGGTCAGTACAACGAAAACCTACCAAAAACAGTCCGTCTAACAAATAGCAACTACTAACTTCCCTTAACTGCGTTATTTTCTCAAACGTAAATCTAACGTCTAATAGGACATTTACGGTCAGAATATCTTCATTGAAAAAATGATCAACGTGAAAGTACAGAAACAAAGTAATATCCATAGATGATAAGTATGGATTTTATGCAACAGCCAGTATCCGCGAATCCGTAGAAGTAAACATATAAAATTCGAAAGATGAAAATGCCACTTCATAGTGCTTCCGAAATCAATAAACGAGTGGTAACTGGTTGAAGAGCTCGGTAAGTTTCAACCACTCAAAACTTGGTAGGTAAATTGGGACTCATAATAATGATTGGAAGTTAGGTATATTTGACTGCCTACCCACAGATAACAGTATCAGCTAATTTCCTAATCTATCAGACCCATTCAATATATCTTACTTCATCCAAACCAAAAGGTCACTGAAAGCATTACTGGGGCTTAATTAACCGACTAAAGCGATGGAAAACGAACTTGTAGGATAGCGTATTGAGGAACTTTTACCACTCTTCGAATAGTGTAAGTATGCGCGTGCACTATAAAAGACAGGTACTGGAATGCCAAATATTAATGAAACTCATTACTGGAAATTAAAATTGGACAAAGCAGTAGATTCTGGCAAAGCGGCTACACCTGCAGGTAGGCCGTAGTCTTCAGTCCTAAAGCGTACTTTAGATATGGAATCTAAAATTAACCATACTGATCCTCAGCGCTGGTTACCTGTCAAAAAAAGTGGTAATTTAAATTTTTCTAACTACCGTAAAGACAATGTGATACTGTTAATTACACATTTCAGGTTAATATATGATAAGCCATAATTTCAGCCGGAATAGAACACGAAATATAGTCGAAGTAATCAGGTTGTAAAACTGCTTTGACCAATAATTATCAACTGTTGGCTTGACGCATGTGAATAACTGGTCACAACTTTTGAGAGAGTAGAAATTGTGAAATTTGTGCTAACGAAAGAAGTTAGCTACATGACCAGACATACTGACCAGTGCGAAACCCCATGCAACAATGCGTAAATGCAATACCAACTTCAGTACAAAAAGTTAGAACAAACTAGAACGTCAGTGAGTGAACGGAAAGTGAATCGATAGAAATTAGTGCAGCCAATAGCTGGACGGTTATGTGAAGTAAATGCCTGAGTCATTTCAGCTGGCTATCGGACATTCCGAGGAATTATTTGATTAAACCCCACGTACCGAAATCTAGATGTATAGTTTGGAGTCCTAAATGGACAGAGCATATGACAGGTTTCAACAGTCTGTGCAGATCCAGTAACTGAAACAATTTCAGCTAAACTGTAGACAAAATGATCTAAAATGCATTGTGAACCTTTCTTTTCAGATAATGAAATGAAATTGAAATCAAACACTGTTCCTAGACAAACAGAACAAAACTCACTGAAATCTGGCCATATGCATTAGAATTGCCCCTTGACTAGAAACTTTCGTACTTTGGCACTCTGGCCACTTGGATGGATCGAATGATGGTGTCTGACGTACGTATGAAAACGGTTCTACACTCATATCCCCGAATAAATTCACCACTTCGCACTCCTGTGACAAATAGACAAGGCATTAAATCTGCTTACCTTTAAAATGCGGTCCAACTTGCTTATATTTAGACGCTTTGCAATCTTATTTAGGCAAACACCCATCTGTTTACCATCGACCGTACGAGCAGAGTCAAGGAGATAAAGAGAAAAAGCTATAACCTATCAGTATGAAAAAAGTAGAAAGAAACATTACTATAACATGTGTATGCTTCTCTTCAGGAAGAACATAGACCTTGTTTTCATACATATGAGCGCTGTTGTGAATAATTTCTACCAAAAGGTCTTCATAACCATCTACTGCAATCAAGCTTTCTTTCAGAGTATCACGGATGATTTTTTGCTTGGCCAGGAAGATGCTTACATCCTGAGCATCAGGATCATGAACCTGAAGAAACTGAGCAGCTCTTAGCTTTATTAGGGGAGGACGTGATGCACACACCTTTTGTAGTTCGAATAATCATTTTTCATGCTAGCTTTCATATTCTTCATTTCATCCAAAAGAGCGAACATCCTAATCATCTTCCCAAGCGTAACAAGATATGCCTGGTTCACAAAAAAGCTCTTCTGATCTTTGTGGGCTAATCTTTTTACTTCTTCCACAAATCTTCGTATGGCCGCATCCTCGTAGGAAAATAACACTACCTAATGAAATCTACCTGGAAGAACATGAACTGTTTAAGTTTAACACAGTGAGGTTCAAGTATTTCTTTTGTTTTTTCATATATCTTGATTCTGTTTGGCTGATCACTCGAGCGAATCTATTTGAAATAGTAACTTGGTACTGAACTTACAAATGGAAGTGCTCTGGATATTGACCTCCAAGTGTACAGCATAATTGCGTATTCTTGCCCTTGCTCAAGAAGTGAATTGAGGTGTGCGTATACTCTTGCATCCTCAGCTGAACGTGCGAATGAAGATTTAAATGCTGTTATATCATTGAAGTTCGTATCTGTGTTCGACTACAAGATAAGTAGGATATCGGTCAATTACTTGCAATAAAACCGGGAAATTCGCAGCTTGAATTGATGGCACATCTTCGTCTATCGCAAGTTGAGACAACGCACTAACCTCCCTTGTAGCACTAAAGAGGAATGCACGATGATGCTGCAAAACCTCCATTGTAACTACCTAACCAAATATTCTCCCCGCGATGATCCAATGTCCAATATCTTTTGGGCGAGCATAACAAACTAATAGCTCCTGAACACTCGAGTCTAGGTTCTGAGGCCTAGTTCTTACTGCTTTTCTTCACTCCTTCTGTGAGCGCTCAGTTCCCTTCTGCTTTTCTGCGTTCACCTTTTTGAGATCTGATTGTTTATGGATTGTTTCTCTCTGGAGCTTGTAGACCACGTATGTGGTGTACCTATGAAGCTACTAGGAAGACCAGCAGTTGTTATTCATACCTTATCTCTTAAGCGGCCTAAAGCCACGTAGTAGATATCAAGATATTAATGGTGGTATTGGTAATTATCACACTGACGATAAGAACAATTCGAATAGCATCGTACTGAAGGCACTTAGACCATTAATGTCAAGGTCAAAACTTGCAGAAATGAAATTTGTGTGGTACTGAAGGACGGAGTGTGTAGATAATCAAAGTCTCGTTAAATAAGCATGTGTGAAACGGGTAAAGAAATGGAGGGGAAGGAGAAGTGAATTTATCTTCGAAGTCATTAACTCATTTTCTGCTGGCAAAGAGTGAGATTAAGGCTACAAAACTCTTCCTGCATACAAAGGATGAGGTTGGTTTTTCTAATTCGCATGGCCTCACCCATATGTAATATCTCAGTGCGAATCCCACTCTCGTAACTTTTTGCAGTGTCATAGATGGTTTTGAAAGGCTTACATGGCCACAACCGACCGAATGCGACAGAATTGAACTCTATGTTGACTTCACTTGTCCCTATCCTAGTCATCACCGCGGGTGTTCAGTAACACTTTTTTTAAACTAATTGTATGCTTATTAAGTCTTTCTCTACATGAGTGGCTGAACTGACAGATGCACACATAACTGGCAGAGGTGGGTAGTTTTATCAAGAGGCGTATGAAAAAGATGAGTGAGAAGTCTGAACAGATGACTAGTTTAAAAAAATCATTATGCGTGAAGCTAGCAATTTAGGAGGAAGCAACTGACGAAGCTCCGTTCCGCGACAGCGCTTACAGATCTTGGAAGAACTTTTGATACCACCTATCATCACTTATTTTCTGGCTGGCTGATAATTGTTGCCCAGTCGAAAGATAAGCTGCTCAGTTGCCCTTCTCTGCACGACATGTACTGTGCGTGCCGATCTACCACCCACCTCAACACACCACACTTAGGGATGCTGGATCGGAATGAAAAAGGGTTGGCAAAGATAAAAGCTGAAGAACTTTCTAGTGAATGGATGTTTATATTACTAAATGAAAACCATGCAAACGGACTAACAACGTTGGCTGGTCACAACGCAAACTTCGAACACTTCGTGCTTTCGTCGCCGACAGTAGAACCTATCTCTGTTATGACAGGTGAACTCCGTGTCCGTCTCTTGATTTGCAGCAAGTTTAATGAGGTTGTGCATATCAATAACTTGGTATGTGAGTTGCATAATTCCAAATACTATTCTGTAAACTTTCAAAAATTATCAGGTTGACGGTGCTTGTAAAGTGGTATCTACCATGTTAAACCGATTATATGAGAATGGGTTTTTTATTATCTTCACTTTGGCGCCCCGTACATGCTGGAATTGGTATTTTTTTGTTTCGTAACTGCGATCTGCTGTTTTTGATGGTGTCAAATGACCTCCCCTCTGTGCTATTCAGGACCGGTAAAATCTTGTAGATTTTTCGGTATATATCAGTGTGATGGCGCCTGTAAACTGGCTTCCTTCATGTGAAATTACCAATATGAGAATAAAAAATTTATTTATTCATAGATGGCCGAACAGACTTGGCACTGGCCGATGAGAAGCATGACTGTTGGATTGAGCCATCTGGGAAGATGTAGTGTGTCTGGCTAGAGTCTCTGTGACGATAGGGATCAGTGGTTGAGAACTGTCGGCGATACGGCTGAAAATCGGTCACGATGGCGCAGGTGCGTTCACTCCTTGACGTCTTTTAAAGCTCAGGTACTTGCACTAACCTTTATCTCGAGTTTATTGATTCCCTCACACAACTGTCTACTTCGATATTACTCCTTTTCTATCCACCTGTTCTTGCGTACTTCTGTGAAGTGTGGCAACTTGAGCCAGCAAGCCTATGTGCAAAGTTGTGGGTTGATTTTGTCAGTCAGTCTGTAATTTCTTCATAAAGCGCGAGTTTCGCTCAAAGAGTGAAGAGACAACTCTGTTAAGAACCTTGAGGCCTGGCCCACAGAGTGTCTCGACAGCCATGGGGAAGAGCCGGGGTGTGTGGGTTTCAGGCTGTCTGTTTATAGGCATGTAACGGAGCCTGACTTTGTGGTCATTTCTTCATCGATCATACTGCTGTTAGAAGTGAGCATAAAGTTGGGCCAAAATCATCCCCCCCGATCGGCTTGGGGATAAACTGACCCTTTGAAGTGCAATTTACTTTACTGGCCTCAAAGGTTCGAACATTGGTTTCTGTGTATTTCACTATGTTGAGTCATCAGCCGTTTCTGGTTGCTCAGGATTCTAGCTGTGGCGGGTCATTTTGGAGACGTTTTGACAGTTTTGACTTATCACAAACCGAAGGTTTCCCCGGTTGGGTTTTTGCGAAATTCCGATAAACCAACTGGGTGGGATTTCGGCACTATGCCATTTTCCGCTGCAGTCACTAATGATATATTTTCACACGTCATGACCTACATGAGAACGAAGCAGTTTGCAGGCTTGGTCACTTTGGTAATGTGAATTCACTACCATGTAGACGTCGTTATTCAAGACACATAAGAAACAAATATAAGGAATGAGTCAGTGTCTTGCAGAGAACGAAGTGCAAGACAGCTGAGCACGAACCTAATCGTTCAGTAGATTAAAGCAAGTTCAGTCAGAAATTAGGAATTATTCAGCCACTGGTTAAGCTACTGAATATTCTTGAAGACAGGGGGGGGCTCAGCCGTGGCCCTGAATTCTGTGCACTTCTCACTCAGTTGTGATAACATGATGTACGCTGGCAAGTGCGATCACTGGGATCCCATCTGAATGAAGGACTGATCACTTAGGCCAAAAAACGAATAACAAAAGTGAGCAACAGGCCGGATTCAAGACAGTAGCAGAAGAGTACTACGTGGAAGCATACCAGTCATGATACACACAATGATATTTTTATTTTATAAAACGGACTTACCAGGAGAAATACAAGTTTACAGGCATCGTCAAGTTGATAATTCTTGAAAGTTTACCAATGGTACTTAATGTTAAGTAATCCACATATCAATTCAGTGATGCGAGCAATCTTATTAAAACTACAATTCATGAGACGGGCAAGAACTTACCACCTCCCATCACGGATAAGTCCCACCATTAGGATCAAAGGTGCGCAATGTTCGAAGGTTGCGTTACAACCAGCTTAAATTGATAGTCCGTTTGCATACACTGTTATTTATTAATAAAACCGTCTGTTTATTGGAAATTTCTTCAGCTTTTGGCTTTGCCAACTACAGGGGACTCGCGTATACAACCTAGAATGTCAGTAAGCATCGACAGTTATATAACCGAGGTGAGCGTATGAATCAATGCATTTCCAGCTAACCGTGTTGCATTCGAAGATGATATATAGGCGAGTTAACTGTACCGGCCACAAAGTTATATGATGAGTGGTGAAACATATTTAGTTAGAACTGGCTCCAGACACTAACCACCGGTGTTGAGTTGTCCATCAAATCTCAAGCTTAACAACTTCGCCATTCTATTTTACCATAGGAAAACACCCTTTTTGTTGGTCTTCTCTCCGACACAAAGCAGAATGAGTTTTGAAAGCTATGGCACTGTCTTTCTGCCAAGTTTTTTTGTCACTGGTACCTACCGCCTCAGACCCTGCCTTTCCATATACTGCATATTCCTTTGTAAGTGGGAAAAACTGACCTTTGTGGGTTGGTAGCCAATTATTTCGAACCTGCCTATCTGCCCGCATCGGCAAGTCCGTTGTACGAGAGAGCCTTGAGGTCTTTCGGAGAAAAAGGCGCATTGCGCCTGTTACGGTAACATGAATAGCTCGCAGAACATACTTTTCATCGGTGGACGGTGCTGATCTGATGTGATAGACATCTCGTTCTCAGACGAGGTGCTTGCAACAAAGAATCTGCAGCGTCACACACTTCTCCAGAATCAATAGCCTAACTTTCGAAGAAATTCAACCCTGATGCTGACCTTGACAGCTAAGTTGACTTGTTAAGTTGAAGGCACCCGGTCAAGCATCCTCGCCATTCGGCACGCTGTTGCATTACGTTGCACTGCTCGTAATCGACTCTCTAGCCAGTTGGTTGGAACGCATCGGTATCTTGGCTCAACTTCGAAAACATACTGATCCACCTGACTATGCTCTTGTGTTCTTTCTCGGCCTGGTATTCGTGGGTACATAACAAGTTCGAAAAATTAGTGATTGGCCTCTGCGTCTGTCAAGTTCGCACCAGGGCAATACCCAAAAATCCTTCCTTGTTTCGTTCGCAAGGCTGTGGTAAGGAGAGATATTTAGCACAAAACTAGTTCCCTTGTCTTGTTAGCATGAAGGAAACTATTATGTCATGATCATCATGGCCTAATAGAAGGGTGAACGCCTGCATTTCCGCTATGAAGAGTTTTTCATTTTCATGCACATGGTCGGGCTGCTATGCTGGGTCGTCCCAGACGTTTTCGGATACCGTCGTTGGTTGAATAGTTCGTTTCAGCTTCTGGTTAACTGATCTTCTGACGTGTTTGCCTTCTACTTTTAATTCGAGTGACGAGGTGTTTAAGTTTCTCGTGATTAGTTAGTCACCATCAGATGCGTTAACCGTGGCTCAAAAGGTTGAATGAGTCCTACCTGATGTTCCTAAGTGCTTGTTTGGTCCTATATGTGATGCGTAGCGGAAACCGTGTTGTAAAGTTAAATAGCTCCAGAGGGCTTCTGGTTGTTAGACTAGCTTGGTTTCTAGTGCCTTTCCATCCACGATGTGTGGAATAAAAGAGATAGCCAATCACCCC